TTGCTCAGTCATTCAACGATCAGACGCCGGTTCTGCTTCTCATCACGAACCAGCTCCGAAAGGATTTGAACAGCTCCAACGAGTACGAGGTGAGTCTCGCTCTGGAATGTTTGTCTAGGATTGGAACTGAGGATCTAGCTAGGGATTTAACCTCCGAGGTTTTCACGCTCTTGGGTAGTAGTAAGGCTTTCGTTAGGAAGAAAGCAATCGGTGTGGTTTTGAGGGTTTTCGGTAAGTACCCTGATGCTGTCAAGGTATGCTTCAAGCGTCTTGTAGAGAATCTGGAGAGCTCTGATCCACAGCTTCTTTCGGCTGTAGTCGGAGTGTTCTGTGAACTCACCACAAAAGATCCACGAGCTTATCTTCCTTTAGCTCCTGAATTTTACAAGATTTTGGTAGATTCGAAGAACAATTGGGTTCTGATCAAGGTTCTTAAGATATTTGCTAAATTGGCTTCGATTGAGCCTCGGTTGGCTAAGAAAGTGTCTGACCCGATCTGTGAACAGATGAGGAGGACTGTGGGAAAGTCTTTGGTGTTTGAGTGTATCAGAACCGTATTTAGTAGCTTGAGCGATCAGGAAACAGCTTTGAAACTTGCGGTTGCAAAGATTAGGGAGTTTCTTGAGGACGATGATCCGAATCTCAAGTATCTCGGTCTTCATGCCTTGTCGATCGTTGCTCCAAAGCATTTATGGGCAGTTTTGGAGAACAAAGAAGCTGTGGTCAAGGCTCTGAGCGATGAGGATCCGAATGTCAAACGCGAGGCTTTGCATCTTTTGATGGCAATGGTGAATGAAGATAATGTTTCTGAGATCTCTCGGATTCTTATGAATTATGCGCTTAAGTCTGACCCTTTGTTCTGCAACGAGATTATAGGTTCCGTTCTACTGTCATGCTCACGGAACTCATATGAGATCGTAGTTGACTTCGATTGGTACTTGTCTCTTCTCGGTGAAATGGCTAGAATCCCACATTGTCAAAGAGGGCAAGAAATTGAGCGCCAGTTGATTGATATTAGTACGAGGGTCAAAGATGCTAGACTCGAGCTAGTTCGTGTTTCTCGAGCGCTGCTTATCGATCCTGCGTTGCTTGGCAATCAGTTCTTGCACCCGATATTGTCGGCAGCTGCTTGGGCTTCAGGAGAATATGTCGAGTTCTCTAAGACCCCTTATGAGATTGCAGAGGCGCTTCTACAACCACGTACTTGTCTCTTACCGCCTTCCGTTAGAGCAATCTACATGCACTCCGCTTTCAAAGTTCTTGTCTTCAGTCTCGGGGCATACTTTTCAGCGCAGGATCCCACTTCCTCGCCCATGGTTGAGGAGTCTACTAGCTCTGGCTTTTCACCGGTGAATGGTTTCACATTCAAATCTATCTCGAGTCTGGTGAATATGATTGAGCTGGGATTGTGCTCGCTATCCGGAACACTTGACGTGGAAGTGCAGGAGAGAGCTAAGAACGTTCTAGGATTCATTGATATGATAAAGCATGAAATAGTTGAGAAATCAACCTCCCAAGACAGTGAAACAGAAGCTTCTAGAGCTATAGCATTCATGGAAGGTGTCTTCTCAGAAGAGCTTGGCCCTGTTTCTTCAACTGCACAGGAAAAGATTCCTTCACCAGAGGGGTTAGAGCTAAAAGAGAATCTTGAAGATCTGCAAGAGATTTGCAGAGAAGTAGTGGAACCAATTGTCGAATCAAGTTCGACTTCTTTCGCTCCCTCAGACAAAATCAGCTTCTCTGTTGCTAAACTGAGAATCAGAGATCAACAAGAAGCCTCATCTTCTTCATCTCCTCCGCCTGAATCTGCATCTTTACTTGCGGAACACAGAAAACGCCATGGCTTGTACTATCTTTCCTCTCAGAAAAGCGATGACCACAATGATAGCAATGGCAACAACAACAACAACGCACTAAACGAATACCCACCAGCTAATGAAATATCTGTGGACTCGTTTAAACCAAAGAAAAAGATGAACCAATCAAAACCAAGACCTGTAGTGGTGAAACTAGACGAAGGAGATGACCCAAAGACGAAGCCAGACGCTAGTAGTAACGATGAGCCTTTGTCACGTGCGATCCAAACCGCTCTTATGGGGAAAGGTAAGGAGAAAGAAAGAGAAAAAGACAAGCACGAGATAAATCTGAATTCAGGGATCACAGAACAGAGCTCGAGAAGAGAAAAGAAGAAGACGAAGAAGAACGGGGAGAGAAGTAGTAAGCATAGATCAAGACGACGAAGAGATGAAGAAGTAAGTGCAACGAAACCAGTCGAAATCCCAGATTTTCTCTTATGAATACGAAGTTAAGAGACTTTTGTCTCCGACAAAACAAAATGGTGTGTTCTTGTACAGTGAAATTTCATGTACCCATAATTGATTCTTTTGTGTTTATGAAATATATTTATCTTATATCATAATATCATCTCAATTATTACACCATCATACTTATAAGACAGACCTCTACATCAACAACATTGATCATAAAACCAGAAAAAGAAAGCCAAAAATTGAAATAAGATGCATACAAGCATCTTCACACACATTGTTATTCTCAAGGGTAAACACTTACTATGATGATAATTAACATCCTTAAGCACACCTCAAAAGTAGGATTGGAACATGTATTATGTATATAGGATGATCATAAATAGCAAACGCTTATATTTTTGGGGAGTTTTCTTCAACACCTTGGGATTGGGAGCTTGCATTGGGTTGAGACTTTACGAGCGTTGGGAGAGCTGACGAAGCGACGGAGGCTAGGGTTTCTCATGTAGCCACATAGGCATGGCTTCTGCTCTTTCAGCTTGGCGCAGCACAGAGCCGATGGTCGAGAAGACGAAGTTATCGCCGACGCACATGGGCTTAGCTGCATTGGCGAGCACGTCACCGCTTCTGCCGAGGGGACTAGGGTCACTAGGAGAACCGCTGCGAGGGCAAATACGGTAACCCATGTGGCTTTGATCATCACCATTCTTCTTCTTCTTTTGTTTGAGTGAGTTTATAGAAGTCTGTTTTAATTTGGTGGTTGTGGTTTATGAGACGTGCATCTCTTGCTATTTATAGTGTGGGAAAGGGAAAGCGAAAAGTATTTTCTAATTTTTATTCAGAGACATGGATTGAAAATAAATCTTAATCTATTAGTGCACTTGCTTATAGTGCGGCATCTTATCATTTTAGTATAGCATTGGAAATAGACATAATTTGTAATCTCAATAGTTTCTAAAGTGAAGTGGTTGATCAAGATAATGCTTATTTTTTTCTTTGTAAATTATGGATGCTAACTTATATGAAATTCTAAAGTATCGCTTGTAGTATTGCAGAATGTATAGTTCGGTTTACTTTATCTTATCACTTTGTAAATCAAGTTGAGAGTAATAGAAAGAAATAGTTCGTAGAAGTGAATATTAATAGCCGAAAAAGGTAACATTGTTGGTTTGTGAATATTAAGAACTCTCGTGACTCATTTGACTTTGTGAACATAAACAATCAATATTAACGGCTAAACATGTGGGGAACATATTCAAAAATGCGCTACTAGTATTATTATTTTCGTGTGTTTATTCATTGTATTGGTTATTTGTTAACTATATCTCTCTTTTTTATTTCTGAGTGGAAAGTAGCACTACAAAGTGGGAAAAATGCATTTAGAAAGTTATAAATCAACACTTAATGTGTACATATATTTCTAACTCTTATCTCGACCAAAAAAATCAACAACATCGTATTTTCACTATCAAAATACAGAAAAAAAAAAACGATTTAGCATCACAACTTATTGTATTATGGGTTTAGCCGAAAAAAGAATTAAAAGTGTGGGGTCGAAGTGTGAAGAATTATTAGGAGGCGGAAGAGGACTTTCGGTGATGGTACTTGTGTCGTCCAAATATTTGTTGCCGTCTCCTTTAACGTCATTATTACTTCTATTCATCTCACACACATTGTGTTTTATACGATATGATGGAAAAAATGCATTTGTCAATATGTTACCAACAACAAAAATCAATTCATTTGTATATACAAAATGATGATTTTGAGAAGAAGCGTGCGTTTGGGGATACGTGTGCATAATCATTGCCACAATCACTCATTGAACATTCTTCTTTTTGCAGTATTTTTCTTTTTTGGGGGCGCAATTGTAGTAAATTAATGAACATATCCTATTCTCCCCGGTGTAGCATTTAAATAGAAAGATTACTTGTTGCATTTTCTTAACTAGAGTTTGTAGATTGAAAATTCAGAACATTCGTAAGGTCTACACCACTAGAAGATGTGAATATATAACCTAAACGTGTACATTCGTTGGAAAATGATTGTTAACGTAGCATGAAAAATATAGCAAAACCATTGGCATGTACATGGATTGGATTTATTAAACGGTTGATCGGTTTAATAAAAGAGTGATGTATATATGTAAGTAAGAGCACATAAATCATAATCCAAAAACACTTGTGGAAACATAAAAGTTGAAGAAAATGGAATATATGGTGTAATATCTCACTACAAATATGTTCACACGCATTGGTTGTTGAAGTTATAGCTCTTCCAAACATGTATGTGTCTTCGACTTTGAAGTTTGATCATGTCTCTATTTTTTATTATTTGTATATATATTCAAAAACTAGGAAATGGATATGTAATCTATGTATATTAAAACTTACTAAGAGAGGAACAAGGCAAAAAATAATAGTACTGATATTAAAAAGAGTAAATGACATGAATCATGATAGAAAGTGGGTCCAAAGTATCGATCGTGAAAACTTTAAGATTCTCACGCCTAGTGAGTAGTGTCACAATTTGCCTTGTTATTATTGCAATTTCTTATAGGTATATAAAATAAACTGTATAATCCAGGTACCTTAATGATTTGTTCCAGATTAAAGATAGAAAAATAGTAGTATTTGAGAAGAAATTGTTTTTTTACCAACACAAAAAGAATAATATAGGTTGTTATCCTGGTTACTTTTAGAAAGACAATTTATCAAAATTAACTTTTACCAACACAATTCTAAATAAATTTGTAAATTCAACTGTTTGCTAACATTATTCTAATTAGCAATAAAATAATTAGTCCAATCATGTATTGGACCTTTACCAGAATACACCTACTGAGATTTTTCACGCCTCACCAGTCACCACTACACCAACCAATGTACAACTTTTTCTATTTTCCAAAGAAAAGCAGTTCATTTTGACCTTTTCTCTTCTGAGTTCACTCTTTCATTTCTAACAACCTTCTGTTTTCATATTTTCTATTTACACAATTGTGATTTTCGTATAGAGACTACCATAAAAGTGTTGACCAGAAGACAAAAGGGACTTCAGTAAACTTTGGAATTGGTTGACACAACTTCACCCTTGTTGTGTGCGGTGGGTTCAGACACAAATCAATCGGATTAATGTGATGAACAAAAGTTACAAAAGCTTGAGATTCACTAAAGCAAACCAAGGTCTAATGCTTCTTCAAACCCAAAACCAACATCAAAGCTTGAGATTGGCTTACTGTGAACTATAAAACAGGACCTAACTAGACTGAAGGATACTCAAAACCACTGAAGATATCCTCCGTGACCACCTTCATCTGTAAACTCATAGACAGCACCCGATGCTGCCAACAAAACCACCAGCATTAGACTTTGAATCAATCTCGATGCTTAGTGTTTCAAAACACGGATACGTTTGTGTTTATGTTTGTACCATCACGCAGACAGATCGCCAAGAAGATAGGATTCTTTTAACAGGGGAAGATGCAAGATGAAGAAGACAGAGAGTATATTACCTTTGTAGCCACCTTGAACAGGATCACCAGCCAGAAGAAGTGGAGTGTCCAAGTCGATGAATCTGTATATCACGTCTTAAACTAGTTAAAACCTTAATGGTCATATATTAACAAGAAATGCGGAAAGTTGAAATAACAAAGTACCTGAAACATCCGATGCCGGCAGCAATGTGACCGGAGAACCCCATTGCTAGTCTAGTCTCCACCATTCCCCCTATCATCAGCTCAATTCCCGATGATCTAGCCAATTCAATCACCTCAAGGGCCTCCAGGATTCCGGTTTTGGCGAGTTTGATGTTAACAACATCTACGATGTCACCTTCTATGATTTTCTTGAGATCAGTCAAGCCTCTACAACTCTCGTCCGCTGCAACAGAGACTCCGAATCTCTTCTTTGCAATTCGAGTCACGTGACTGAGACCTTCCCAGTTGTCTCTGTGGACGGGTTGTTCAAAGAGAACCGGTGTAACCTTCATTTCTGGGGGAAAACAGATTTAAAAATCTTAACAGGTTAGAGGGTTTTCCAAAAACTAATGCCTTCAAAACGTCTTGCACCAACAAATGATTCATACCATGAAGCTTTTCGAGAACTTCAAGAGCTTCGTCTGTTGTATAACCCTCATTTGCATCCAACATGAAGGAACAATCAGGGTGGACTGCACGTATAGCCTGGAGAACTTGTATGTCAGCGTGAAGGTTCTTCCCCACCTTGAGCTTCAACGTTTCAAACCCTTCTTTTCTATACTTTAACGCCAAACTCGAAGCTTCAGCTGGAGAAACTATCGGAATCTGATCATAGACCATCACAAAACATCTTTTAGACCCACCCCCACATCTGTAAAATCTACACAAACCTTCATTCACACTTGAATAATTTTCTTTCATTAGTTTTCCAGAATTTTCACGCCATTAACAGTCTACAAACAATTCAAAAACCAAAGGGAAATTGTACCAGGAAGAGCTAAGGTAAGAACCGAACTGTTATGTCGGTGGTAATGGTACTTGAAGCCCCACCAAATAGCTTCCACAGTGGCGTTCCTACGCTCTTAGCTGCTGCATCTATCATCGCCATCTCCATCCCCGCTCTCACCTTCATCCATTTCAACATGTTCTTATAAGATTTTGTTTTCCCCCAAGAGGTTTCCAAATAAACAGAGAGAAGAAGAAGCTTATATGCTAAAATTATAAAACTCATCTCAAACAGATTTACACTTGTTACTTGTATCTAGTGAAAGCCACAGTTAATGCAAACCCAACATGAAATTTTCAAATTCAAGCTCAAAATTAAGTCTTTAGTAAGCCAAGAACGTTTAAAATCGAATTGGATTCTGATACGAAAAATTACGCAGAATCAATCCTATGAGAAAAGCAAGTTATAGCTAAGGCGGAAGACAATTGAACCAACGGAATTTATAAAACCTCAGACTTACAGAGGCAAATCGATGGCCAGGGAGAAATTTTCCGATCTCCTGAAGAACATTACCTAGTTTCATCTCCGGTAACTCCCTCAGAAACTCACAGGCTTCCCGCGCTTTTACCATGGCCGTAAGCTGATCCTCCGCCGTAACCGACGGCAAAATCGGAGCCTCTCCCCAACCGACACATCCACCGCTAAGCTCAATCCGGATCGCGACATTACCGACTGAATCAAGCCGCGACGAGGCGATAGTGAAGGGAGAGAGCAGAGGCACGTTCAGTTCGCGGTTCTCTGCTCTCTGCACCCTCACCGTGAAATTCTCCGTCAGCGTTTTGAATCCAGACGCCGCCGACATAACGGGGATCAGCGATTTCGACGAATTTTGGAAACCGAAGCTTGAATTGACGAGTGGAGAAGGCGATGCAATCGAAAGCATCTTTTTGCTTTAAGGATTGAAAAATCTCACTTGGTATTTCTAACATTTTTGATTATTAAAAAAACAATTTCTTCTTTACTCAAGAGACTGATATTGTGTGTGTTTTGTTAGTCAAAAATAGTTTTTGTTTCTGCTTCTTTACTCTTATAGTGACTGAAACATATTAAAATTCAAATATACACTTCTGATCTTTTGCTTCAGAAATATCCATTCATTGAAATTTGATCAAAAACTTAAACTACGGAAACTATCGATAATTAGAATATTTATATGATTTTCGTACATATATATTTATACAATAATATACGGTCATAAACCTGTGTTATATAATAAAGGCAATTGAATTGTTTATAGAGAGACATAGAGATGAAGAAAATAAGTGGGAGAAGGAATAAAGGCAAAACCATTCCCATTCTTTGCTTCTTGGAGATGTGTTATCTTTGTTCCCAAGTCTAGAACATGTCTCTACTCCTCTACCTCTTTGTTATATTTCTCCCATTTTCATCACAACAAATTTTACATAACCACAACGTTCATTTTCATTACTCTTTGTACGCATTCATTTTCATTTTAAGAAAAGTTACATCCAATCTTTGTACGCATTCATTTTCATTTCATTTTAAGAAAAGTTACATCCAATCATCATGCCGGTCTTTGGGGGATCTTCCGATTCCGAAGATGAAAGAACGATCCATAAACCAACGTCTAAGCTCTTCACTCGCCAAAGATCAATTCACTCTATTTTTGGAGGAGGCAAAGGTATATATATTCTTATGATCGATCTATAGATCCGTATATGTACACGAACTTTGAAATTTTATATTTGTGATTTACAGTTGCGGATATCTTGTTATGGAGAGAGCCGAAAATAGCTGCAACATTGGTGATTGGAGTTAGTCTTTTATGGTTCTTAATGGAAGTAGTGGAATACAATTTTATAACCCTAATTTGTCATGCTTCCATGACCTCCATGCTTCTTTTCTTCATTTGGTCTACTGCTTCTGATTTTCTCAATTGGTATGTATATATCTTTTCGATTTCTTGGTTCGATCATAAAAAATATATAGTTTTCGACATTCCTAATCAACATATAATACATGCAGGGAAAGGCCAATTATACCAGAAGTGGTATTAGACGAATCTTCTTTCAAGCATTTAGCAAGAAGCTTCCATGCTAGATTCAACCAAATCCTTGCCAAGCTTCTTGATATTGCTTGTGGAAGAGATCCTCCCCTCTTTTTTCTCGTAAGAGTGTTATACTAATCGATTCAATATATATATATATATATATATATATATATATATATATATTAATTTTTGATTATTTTATCAACTAGCTAGTTACTTTTATTTTCTTATAACTTTGCTACAATTTTTTTCAGACAACGATCTCACTTTATATGCTATCAATCATCGGGACATATTTCAACTTTGTGAATCTTCTGTTCATAGGTAAGAATCATAGTCATTAAAACATATAGATTTAAGTATTATACTCCTTCCGTTTCATAATAAGTATCATTTAAAGAAAATGTATCTGCATTATAATTGGATGTATCTGGATGTGTTTTGAATTTAATACATCTAGATACATTGCAGATACATTTTCTCCAAAATAACACTTATTATGAAACAGAGGGATTACTTAATTAACAGAGGATAATTAACAGAAGATTAATGAACGTCGTGCCGTTTAGGGTTTATAAGCATGCAAACATTGCCGGTTATGTATGAGATGTACGAGGATGACGTGGATAGAGTGGCGGGAAAGATGATGAGGAAGATGAGGAAGCTGTACAGGAAAGTAGACTCGAACGTTATTAGCAAGATCCCAAGAGGAACTGTCAAAAGCAAGAAACATATTTAATTCTTCATTGTTTACATATTCATGTATAATCAGAATTTATATGTTTATATATAGAGATGATGATTTCTGTAATTATATCTCCTAAAAAGCCTCGAGTTCAGTAAATAAAGCCTCAAATGATGACCTGACTCTAACAGTAAACTAGTTTCCACCGTTACTATTACCATTTCAATATTCAGTTTGGAATATGATCCGATTCCGCAGCAACTAGAGAGTTAAGCATAAATTGACCAAATAACGTGAAAAAAAAACTGGTATCAAATATGTGGCTGCAAAAATGTTGCAGATACTATGTCACCATCATATTCCTAAGATTTGTTACTTTTAATAATAATACTTATATCTTTAACTATTATTTAATCTCGTTCACATGATATGTGTAGTGTTGTCTCAATCATAAAGGTAATCCTTAAACTGCGGATTTTATGTTTGGCCATATGATCGGACACAAAACAAATAATATGTCAACATTACACGCAGATGATGATGAGGTATACTAGTTTTATCATGGTAATAACATGTATTTAGCAGCACACCAGCCACTGTATAAATGTTTTTCATTGTTATTTGCAGATGTATAAATTATGGTATGCATATTTTCAAATCTATTTTAAACCATAAAAGAAAGATATAAGATTTTTTTTTGGGTTGCGGTCTTTGGTGAAAATGGGTTTTTCTAAGCTGGAAACTTCTTTAGCTTTGGAGAAAAGTGGTAACCTTTCCTTAAATCATTACCATTAACATAACAATTTACTTATTTTCCATCGATTTTTTTTTTCCAGAGGAAGTGGCATAAACCATTGTTAAATCAAACTATACCTTTAGTTATTAATTAGCTATTTGATATTGTCATGTAGGCCTTAGTGGTAGGGAGCATTGTATGTTATCCCAACTTTCATTAATATGATATTTTCAGTTTAGCAACAAAAAAATGTAGGCCTTAGATGTGTGTGCGCTATACGCATTGTGATTGTATGTCTTTAACTGATACAGTTGTTAAATGTTTAGGCTTATTGTCGAAAAATTCTTTGATTTTGTATAGTCAAATTTGCACAAACAACAAAAAAGGCATTTCACGTGAAATGCAAAAGAGAGAGTTATATAGCTTTTCATGCGTAACCCATCTTCTGTTCTTGTTCTTCTTCTGTATATTAAACAATTAAATACTACAAACTGTTTCGACACATCTTGGATTAAACAAGTTTAATGAACGACCAGTCAAATCTCAACCTCTGAAAACATAACATTTTAAGAAACTACAAAGCAACCCAAGCATATTCATACATTTTATTATGGTGTTTGACTATTCTCAGTATAATTTTTTATTGTCAACTCAAACCCCCTTGTCTTCAACAATATTTCCTCGAAAAAGCTAGACAAGAGGTATGTACATGCATATAAGTTATCTAATAAAATATCGAGCCAGAAATTTCTTAAAGACCTAATCTTTGTTGACCTCTAAATTTTAAATGGCCCTACATAACCTCAGAACTTCAAGTTTTATATTAAAAATAAAAACATAATTTTATAAAAGAAGACATATTCTCCGAAACCTTATAGTCAGAAGAATAATTAGTAAAGTCAATGGCCTTACGTACGAATTTATCAACTATAACTCTATAAGTAGGAAACCCATTCACGTTAAACAACTTAACCTCATCCACACTAAAACATCTTAGAGAGAAAGAGAGAGAGAGAGATGGCGAGACATTTAGAAGATGTAATGAGCATGGCGACAACAACACAGTTCGATGTTAGTTACCTTTTTCATGTTGTGTTCTTGGCTCTGTTCGGCTGTTGTGTCCTCTCGGCTCTGTTACTTTCCTGCGCCGACGGACCCTCCGATGGCAGAGCCACTTCCGGAAACTCCGGTGCCGGAGGCTGTGGCGGCGCGGCTTGCGGCGGTGGCTGTGGAGGTTAAGAGATTCCTTCTTCGTGGTGGAAAAAAAGACAAGATAGTCGACTCTTTTCGTATTATGGTTTTTATAGTCATCTTTCGTATTTTTGTTAGCTCTGCCGTTGCTTTTTTCCATTAATAGAAGAATTCAAGAACATATTGTATATAAGTACAAACTATATATATCAAAGCTTTTTGCATTTCGATTTGAAGTCGAGATTTTGATATGATGCACAAAGCACTATATTTTCAAATTAATTACAAATTAAAATTTCCGCAGGGGGGTGATAAATTTCACCGGAAAAAACAAACGGGAGTTTAGTTTAGTTCAAATGAACGAATCCACTGATACACCAAAATCGAATCCGAACCTAACCGGGAAAAAATAGGTTAGGTTCTTTCTTTCATTTTGTCTTTAGTTACTTTTGGTTGGGTTCATACGTAGATGCATTTTATTGTCAAACCCAAACGAAGCTACAATAGTACCATCTTTTATTTTTTACTTTAGTTACTTTCTTTCTCCGATCCAGATCTCATATTAAAACCCTAATTTCAGGGAAGGAGATTCATAATCCATAAAGAAACGTTGACTGTCTCATGGTCCTAATAGGCCCCAACAACACGACCAAGTTTCATAAGAGACTAGAAGAAGCAAACCAAAAATAAACCATCAATTCATTATGGATCCGAAACCCGTACCGGATAAATTGATGGCGAGAAACGAGAACAAAAGCACGAACCGGGATTTTTTTTTTTATCATACGTTGATGGGAACTGATTCTTTAGACCTTGTGATCTTGGCTTGTAGTCTCTCCATAAAAGCTGGATTGGCCTGGAGTCTCTGTTTCAAATATGAAGTTCTGATGTCCTCAGCAATCTTGTTGGCTTTCGCAGCTTCCTCTATCAACCCGTATAGCGTCCTTAAGCAGTCTTTCCTGTTTTCCTCTCGGTGTTCAAACCTGTGACAAGTGTTTTGTTGCACAACGACATAAACATTTCATGATTCAACATTATTGTCTCGCGACGAAACGGGCTTTAACATAGAGGCTTTAAAGTTAACTTACCTCTCGCTGGTGATCGTAAGCTCGTCTTTCCCTGAGACGTATCTTTTCCCCACAAGCTCCCGTAACCTTCGAGCCTGATGCTTTGAGAGCCCGAGCTCTTTTACTGTAACAGACAATTTAACTTTCCTGTTCTTTGGATGCCACGCGTCGCCTCCAGGAGCAAAAACGATCCTCGATTGCCACTTAAGGATTGGGCCTTTGCCTGGAGGGTCATCCAAGTTGGTATTCCTATCGGAAACATCCGTTTCATCAAACTTGAGAGGCCCCTCAGCTTCCATTTGATCACCATACTGAATCACCATCTCGTCTTCGAATTCCTTAAAAAGCTCATAAGCTGCTTCTGGCTCGATTTCGCCACTTTCACACATATCCCCGAGCTCGTTAAACTTTGCTTCAACTTTTTTCTTCAAGTCATCTGAATGAAAATAAAGTCAGAAAATCTCCCTAATGTTCATATAAATGCATCACAGGAACAAACCAATAAAAGACCCTGCTGACTATAAACGCAATGAATCCGAAAAGTATCATATTACTTTCAAAGAATCCAACAAGGATACTTCTCCTACCATGATTTGAGCAAAATCCAAAACAGAAAGGAAGAAAATTACAAATGCTCAGTCCCATTAGAGAGTGTTTTTAGTTATAAGGACGCACATTACTTAACCAATCAGCCTAGTCTCCGAAGATCAAAGTCCCTTAAAAGGTTTCCTAGTAGGTCGAAAGATACAAAGGTAAGCTGTCTAAAAATGTGAATTTTTAATAGAAAGCCGCAAATTACCAGGAAGAAGCTTGTCCCACTGGAGCATATCCTCAAGAATCTCTTCGCATTCCTTAGTATCCTTGAGAATCCCATGTTGAATGCCTTCTCTAACAAGGGCATCCCACTTCTTGTCGTCCATGTTGTAAAACTCATTCTTACTATGCTTCTCCATCACATTCTCCGGAGCGTTGTACAGATCCTCGAGTTCGTCGTCGGTAGAAAGGGCTTCCTCTAAATCAGATTCAAAATCTTCATCCTTCACATCATCTTTGAAAGGCTGCGTTTCGAATGAATCCATCAGTTCATCATCTGTCTCCCCGTGTTTGTCAGCAAGCCTTCTCCTCAGAAGTGCTTCAATCACTCCGGGCAAGGCGTCTTCATTACCCTCGTTGAAATACTTCTCTAGACGGGTTTTTAGCTCTGAAACCACAAACCAATATCATTAAGTGAACAGTAGGGACTAAGCCACATATCTCAATTCCCAATATGGACACTAATGAGCTTAACTACTCAATAAATTCACCATAGAATCGTTTGAAATTCCAAATCTTAAATCGAAGAATCAATTGAAATTTTCAAGCTTTCCGCTACAGATACCCAGAAATGTCGCAATCACCAAATGAAGCATTGAGATGAGGATTAAACTCCACCATTTCAGCTGATACACGGCGCAAAACGAGAAGAGAGAAACAACACCACATCAGGAACAGAGGATAAAGTAATTTACCTTTGTTGCCTACATCCTCTATAGCGAGATCTTTCTTATCGGATGACTCAATCGGCGAAGATTCAATCGGAGAAGACTCAGGAGCAATGGTCGGGTTCTCACCGGACGAGTCGGATTCGGAGGAGAATAATCTGAGTTTGAGAGGGAATGAAGCGGCAATCGGAGGGAGAAAGGGAACATTGGTGGAGCAGCTCTGATGGGTAATCCGAGGAGAAAGGAGAAGTCTGCGAGTGCAGAGAGATGCATTTCTGAAGAGAGCTCCTCTCATGGCGGATCGGAGATTTAGGGTTTTAGGTTGTGGAGTTGGAAGAAATCCAAAGTACAGAAGTGTGATCCTTTAGCAAATGTTGTTTAATTTACGCATTTGACACTGGACCCCTTTAAGCCTTCTCCAGTAACAAATAAAAGAAAATTCACCGTGCTCAGCTTATCGGAATATATAGAGTTTTTGTAGACGGGAACATTTCGGTAAATTATTGTGATGTCAAATAGTCGGATATTTGTTGGAAGTGTCAAGATTATAACCTTTCTACTGTTACGTTAATTGTCAATGAATGAATGAACTAGTCTTGAATCGACGATACCCTTTATATAACAGTGTTGGTTTTTTATCACTTCCGTTGGGAAATTCATAAAAGAAAACGAGTTCTAGATCAAAAAGTCTACATATATATTGGTTGATACAAGGTTGCATTGTTTAGTTTTTATATAATCTTCGTATCAAGACAATTTCAAAAATTGTATTTAATCAAAACCATGAATCCTTCATTTACCACCACAACCCAATACAGTGCTTTACTGCTTAGAAAAATCGTCCAAACAATTTTTATTTTCCAAATATATAGAGACACGGAGAATACTAAGATAAGAAGAACTTTATCACAAGATAGCAAAGCCTATATATATATGATATACCTAACGAGATGTTACGTAATAAGCAAAAAAGAAAGAAAGAAAGAAATCGCGAGTAATTGGCTATACTTGGCTTTTGAGCGTTTATTACTGAAGAAGATTCAGTGCTCAAAGCGGTTGAGACGCAGCCATATGTTGTTGCTGTTTGCCACTGTCGAGAGCCATCTGCTTGGACATATCGGCTAGAGCGGCTGCGGCTGCTGCTGGCGTCATGCTCTGGTACGGAGACGCTAGCGGAATAGCAGTGTTAGCAGGAGGACGTTGTGCGTGGTAATACACTGCCTCGTTTGGCGGGTTTGTACTGTACTCGTAGGCTCCACTGTAGTTGGGGTTTGCGTTTGCGGCGTGTTGAGGAACTCCAGTGTAACCCATGTATTGATGCTGAGGCTGTTGCTGTTGCTGTTGCTGAAGCTGATGAACTGGTACAGCGGCGCGGTAAACGTTCTGAGCGGCTTCAGGTCTCGGGTTTGTTGCGGGTTTCGAGTTTGGGTAGAGCGGAGGAGTTCCTGCTGGGACATACTGCTGAGTCTGCGGGACGGGCATCATGTAAACCGGGTAGTTTTGCTGCTGGTGAGAGTAAACCGGGATGTATTGCGATGGGTGAGGGATGTACTGAACGCCTTGGTGTAAGAAAGGTTGGTGTTGTTGGTCCATAGTTGTGTATGTACCTGGCTGAGATAAGACGTGGGATGTGGTTTGGGCTGAAGTGGTTTCAGGCTGAGGCAGGCCGTTGCTGGTTTGGACCGTTGTGGTTTCAGGCTGTGTCACTGGGGCTCTTGGCAGAGGTGGAGCTTGGTCTTGGTAGTACATCGGCTTTGTAAATGAAGTCGCAGAAGAAATGCTAGTATCACTGTATGTAATACAAACAGGAGAAATCAGCATTTAGTATCAGACTGAAAGAAAAAAAAAAACTAAATATCTCTGGTGATACGCTATGGTTCGATGTGACAAGAGTACTCTCATTACCACACAAACAAAAACTCAAGATACAAATCTGTTGAGGTATCTAATGTATATGCTATATATACAACACAGATCAGGATGAAGATAAAACGAGATTCTTACGCATTTGTCAGCTCAAGATAAATGATCCATTGTCGTTTGAAATACCTTACTTCAAACCAGTGATGAGTATCTATTTAGCTACTTCCGCGTGTAATTGGAACCACATATAAATATCAGAAAACAGAAACAGTGCAGAGACAAGCACGAGTTCAAGGCAAGCTGAAGAAAATGATAGAGATGCCTACTCCAAATATGAAATCACCTGGATCATTTATCTAATAAACAACTAGAGAGGTTCTTTTCAGAAAACATTTGTAGATTGATAGAACAGTATTTCTCAGTTGGCTCAGACATTAAAGTGCGCACGAGTAAATGAAGAGTGGCAGTAGAAGATGAAAGTACCTTGCAACGGAATCAGGAGATGCCAAGCCATACCCACCGGCACCTCGCGGTGGGATCGCCACTGGCTGCATCGGCAGAGGTGGCTTCCTGTACCCAGTTGGTACACCTTGATCGGATCGATCGTCGTCCGTTGATCCCTGGCCATTGCTTACGGCAGCAGCACCATCAATAGGTGCGTTGTTATACCCAATCCCAGCATCTGTCATCGTACCCGGCGGATTCATCGTTGGCCGATTTGCCATCAAGCCAGTCCCATCTTCCAAATGTCTGTGAGTTTGCACGTTTGAGAGGTTCATCTGAGAGAAATGTTCCTCGATCCTTTGGTCTTCGCCGATTCTAACGCGGATGTGTCGCAAATTGGCAGTGGAAGGAGAAGAAGAGGAAGATTCTATGGAAGAACCGGCGGCTTCCATCATTGGCGAATCAGGCATCGAGCTCATATGCATCTCTTGATGCGAAATCACACCGTTAGCGACCAAATCTCCTCGCCTGTTGTTCTCGCCACCAACATTAGTTTCTAGGTTTTGGATTTCAGCCTCTCCGACGCTAGCCTCGTCAAGATTCACCAAGGTATTGTTCACGGCGGCGGAATCTGACAAACCACGAGGAAGCAAGCCGGACTGATTCAGAGCATCGACGAACCAGGTCTCCGATTTCGCACCGTCAAGCAGAGATCCCATGGTAGCGGCGGTCTCGAGCTTGTTAGCGAAAAGGAACAACCGGATCCGTTGCGTCGCAGTCGCCGTCGCTGATGACGTCGCGCGATCGTATTCCTCAATCATGTTCTCCAGATCTTCATCGGTGGTGATGGTGACGAGGGAATCGAGATCTTCGCTAGGGAGCTGGTACTTGAGAGTGAAGGACCTGCCGTTGAGGAGCATACTGGAGAGGCGTGATCGGAGCGAGGCCAGTGACGCGCGTCGATCAACAACCACCAGACGAGTCTCGCCGCCGGAGTACGTCAGCGCCTTGTCGTGTGGACGAGGCATGATGTGGCCGCCAAAGCTGCACATAAGGCGAAGCTTAGCGCCGGGAACGGCTGCCAGTGGCTCTGCATTTCCTCCGATATCAACAGGGACGGCGCGTGGGGATCCATCGATCGGTTGCGTTAGGGTTCCGCTCTTGACTGCCGCCGGAATTGCGGTGGAGACAGCGGCGGCGCAAGAAGGATTTGGGGTTAGTTGCGATAAAGTTGGAAGTGGGGTCTCCATGTTCGACAACGACGGATAGGTTAGTTGGAGATTGATATATTTATATATTGATAAGCATTTGAGGTATTTCGAACCAAATTTTAAGCGTAAATACTTATAATAATCAGATATTAACGAATAAGATAACAAAATTATTTTGTATGCAATTGTATAGAAAAGGATTAAATGTTAGATTCTCTGCAGAATGGGCTGGACAATTACACATATATTTGATTCACCGCCAAGTAGTTTAATTACACATATTTGATTCACCGCCAAGTAGTTTATGTATAACCTGGTACCAGCGTCGTATTATATTAACGTAATGACAACAAAAAGCTATTTACTCGAATCAAAATTAAAGTTTTCTGAAATTTTAAGATTGGGTTTTCTGTTTTAATTATCAGAGATCTAAAAGTTTTGTCGGCAATTGGTAAATAAAAAAAAGTCTTGTACATCTGATGAAACCATACCACTTGCTTATAGTTTTGGTTTACAATTTACAGATTTGAGTATAGTACAAAATATAACGAATACTTTGTGTTGAATATCCGTTGTATCAGACTATAATGTGTCGATTTGTGTTTTTGAAAAACTGTGTATTACTTATTTTATTGCTTATAGATATTAGAATGTTTAATACTATGAAAGGACTATTTTGTGTTCTTTAACATGGTTTTCTTTACGAGTTCCAACTTTACAGTTTTCTACAATTTGTTTGCGGAAAGTTTGATGTCAAAGCAAATAGAAAAGGTTGATGCAAAATATAATTCTTAATATATATACCTTGAAAAAGAAAATGAAATTATTCATATCTGATTTTTCATGTTTAATAAGTTTGTTCACTGTTAAAGGCTAAAGCAAGACGAAGAAACAAATATGTTCAGATGAAGTGGAGTCCGAAGAAGGCGGATGAATCTGGACCTTATGGGGAAATTAAAAACCAAACCCATGTGTAAAACTTTCGGTGACCGTGTCCGGTTTACTTCAACCGGACGTTTCACGTTCGGTTCCCAAAGTTTCTTTCCTCAAAAATTGTATACGCAACTGTTGAAACTTGTAATTATGGATTAACATCACCAGTTGCCACCATCATGAACATTGAACATTATGACTCTTCATATTATTTGTTTTTCTTCATTTAGTTTTCCAATAAACGGAGAGCTAATTGTGTTAGACTTATCGTACGAAAAACTGAAATGCGTACAGTTTTTTTTTTTTTCTATCTTCTTAATTGTATTTGTACTCCAACTTTATTTTTGAATTTGAAACCCAATCCTTAGTCTTAACACAGTTGAAACTTGACATTACATTTGGTTTTGATTGACCAAAATAGTATAATTTGTTTTTTTACCAAAATTAATATAAATTGGTTATAATTATAAGATATGGAACGAAGAGTCACTTTGCTTAGTAAATACGGGATCTAATACGTGTGCAAGTTGAAACCGGAACCCAAGAGAGGAAATTGGGGAAGCAAACTAAACCAATTTTAACCAAACTAAATCTTCTTAAACATGGTTAACAACAATTATACATTGGGGAAACATGTATACATCTTAATTGAAGGGAACAAACTATCAGTAAGTGAAACGTAATCATATGATTAAAATTACACCGATAAATAAATATATATATATATATGCGTAAGAAATTTTAATATTCAGAATCAGTGCTTTCTCGGTTACGTTCTTGCGGTGAGAAGGTGGAGCCAGGCTCGACGTCGTTGTCCACCATCCCTCGAGAACCGCTTCGAGTCATCGTCGTGGCTCGACCACTCCTCTCGGCCAACATTCTAAAATACGCATGTGGGGCCCATCCTATAAAAATAAAATAAAAAAACAGTAATCCTTAAATTTCAGCTCAAGAAAGCAGTAAAATGATGGTAAAATGTTAGAAACATTTTGTTTGATTACCATTGTCGTCGTATGGATAAGGAAAAAAGTGGAGGTAAGAGAAAGAAGCGACGAATAGTCCGATGATAGCTCCGGCGAAGACGTCGGTCCAATGGTGCCAATAGTCGTCCACGCGTGATATTCCGATAAGGATTGCGAGGAGTATCGGTAAGAACACTAGACATAGCTTTGCCACGTGTCCCTGTCTGTCAAATACTTTGATTTTCCCCGATAAGTACCACGCAAGGAAAGCTAAACCGGCGAATGACCCTGCATTTTATACCGTAACAAACCGGTTTTACTTCAACCGGAATCAATTCATAACTTTGATGTTTTTAGAAAACTTACATGAAGTGTGACCACTAGGAAAACTCTTGTAACCTTCTTTGATTATCTTTTTAACTCCATGGCAAACAACATCCTTAGTATCCGGGTCAAATTTCTGCATTTCTTTCACATTTGCGCAAAATTAGAGAAAATGCCTCATAATATACTAATCAAAACCGGACAAATAATCGTCCGTGTCCAAAGTAAGAAAAACAGATTGATAGAGATGTTTCATACCGGTTTACCATCAGGAAAACATCGGTAAAAGAAGTTAGGTCGTGGCCTACCAACAGCATCTTTGATGGAATCAGTGGTGACTGCAGTCACAAGACACGAGAATGCAAGACCTAATACGCAATACACAAATGTTATTAGCAACGCTAATCAATATAGTACACGAGATAATACGTTTGAAGCTAGAAGTAAACTAACTCACCGAGAATGGCGTGATGAAGATCATAGACATCTCTCCGGAAGTAATAGTAGATGGTGAAGATGCATATAGGAACCAATATACAAACAATCTATGCACCCACCCACAAAACATATATATATATATCAACCATCATTCAACAATTATCATGGCAATGCTTTCTTGTGATGAAAGGCACATTAAATGCCTAGGTTTCTTGAAATACAAGTTTACTTACCGGGACTGCCCACATAGGGATGGTGTCTTGAAAGAATGGGAAAGTGAGATCAGTCAACATGTCTGGTCCGATGTAGCGATGAAATGGTTCGATAACGTTGAGAGCGATGTCAATGAGACCGAGGATGACGAGGATGAGCCAGTCACGTAGATGTTCTCGAGCCACCGTCCACCCATGACTCATCACCGTGTGAGATCCAAGAATTATCTTAGCCATTGCTCAGGCTCGTTAAGTTAACCTAAAACAACAGTTTCATTGGATAATATATACGTAATATATATATCCTTTTTTTTTCTATAATCAGATTTTAATTCGCCATGCAAAAATTCTCCGATGAAAACTATACTAGGATTTTGTTCTTCTTTTTGTTTATATCAAAAATCAACGCAACAGTGGAATATTTATCCAAAAATGAAAACCAAAATAAATCATTTGGTTTCGGGATGAATCGAGGGAAAAAAAACAATTTCAGAAAGAATCTTAGATTCGTCAAGCATACATAAATGCATACACAATTGCACAGAGAGATTAATGGTAAAAATGAGTACCTGGTGAAACGCGAGATCAATTAATCGAAGATGAAGGGCTAAACAAACCCTAATTAATCTATTATATTATCGTTCTCGGGTTAAAATCTATTCTATTACTGTTACAATTGCAATCTAGAAACAAAACTATAAACAATTCGTTTTTAAACGGTGAATGGGTATATGAATTTGGGGAGAAATTAGAAAAGATTTTTATAAAAAAAAAGAGAAATTAGAAAAGAATTGTTTATCGCCAAATTACGTTTTTGTTTTTGTTTTTGTTTTTCTTTCGAAACAGTTATGATACTTCAGATTCTTTTGGTTTAAACCGTTTAATATTTGCCTTTAAACCAATGTTTACGACCAAAAAAAAAAACTGTAGCTAAATGAAAGGATATAATTTAAAATTAAGGTTACGATTCAATTACATGTAAAAATGATAATTATTTTTATTTTTATGGAAATATGTATCTCGGGCTCCCCACGCATATTATTTCGTTATAAATCTAAGTTGTAACCTAATATAAATGAACGACACGAGTTATTCCATTATAACTGCCAATTGGTTTGATGTAAGATAAAACAAAATAAATTGCCACAATGCATGTAGATTTTGGTCATGCAAGTTCATGAGCTTTTTAATATTTTTCTTTCTATTTTGATGTGAATGGATATCACGGACTCACAGTTAAATCAAAGAGTGCGGCAAGAAAGTAGAGATGCACCCACACGACCAAATCCACCATCCATATTGATATTGCATTTTGAAGGGTATAATGCGAATGTGAAATCGTTCGTGGTGGTACAACTTTCGTTAATACATCGTCTTTAAGTATATACTTAATTCGATATTCAATATACTAAAAGGAGAAACGAAAATAGATGTATCGAAGAAGACAAAAAACAATTGCATAGATGGCAAAGACTCTCGAGTCGTAATGATAGAATTTTTCAAAGGTACACCACACTAAATCTGAATTTCAAATTCGATGGTCTACATACAGTCTACACTACAATAGGACATAAATGGGTTCTGTAATGAAGAAAATGGGGCACACAAGTTGCAGCTTTATATGAAGAGTGGTACTCATCTCTCACTCTCAGTTTCATTCTATTATTACCACATGTGCCATTCTGTAACGAAAAATTCCATTTCAATTATCAATTAATGATTATTTCATCACTATAGTACTCTTCCCCACTAATTCAATTCCCTTGTCTCTTTTTGAAGTCCTCTCCAACATTATAAGTTGTTATAATTCCTATCTTTGACCTATTCTCTTTCTCCAATAGGAAAAAACTCAAAATATTTTAGTTCCAAATTTTTTTCACCCATTCACTGTGTATCCAAAGTCCATTATTGCATAAGGCATATTCCTTGATTTGATATGAATGGAGTTTCACATTTTAACCCACAACAAGTAAGAGTAGCTGAAGAAGACAAAAGAAGTGAATTACAAGAGAAAAAGGACAAAACCCATGACTATCCAAACACTAAGATTGATTCCCTTCTTAATGTCATAGTCCCTACTTTGGTGATCTGTCATTTTCGCCTTTCTTCGATTTTTGATACAAACTCTCGTTTACCTTCGCCAATCATTCCGGTTATCTAGATACGGTTATACTTAACAGTCTATATATTGGTCGTTTGTTTGTCATTAACTTGGTGATTAAGAAACAGCATTGAAGTGTTTTCACATCTAAACTACTCTTTGAGACAAAATCAATCATGTGCAAGTGGAGCATATCAAACATCATTTCATTCAAAATAATTTAATACTTTGATCATCACGCAAAAATGTGATCATTTATTTGATTGAATACTAGTGACGATAACTATTTCCAAAAAGTTACTATTTTTGGTTTTGTCGGTTGAAGCAGACGAAACTGAGAAAGGTTGAATTTTTGTCCTAGAGTTTGTTGGACAAGTTAAATGGGTATTACAACCCTATATCCACCTCTCACATTGAGGACGTACGGTTGGTTGGTGGGTAGGGTTTTTGCCAGCCATAGCCAAAATTTGAAGTGAAAAACAATCTCCACCACATCTCACATATCACATGATTATTACATTGATTGGCTCGTGTTTCTATCAAGATTTTCGCATCGTTAGAGGCGCGGATACAAAAAGAACTCGGTTCTATCAAGTGGAGAGGCCATAATAATATTGTGAAGAATAGTATTCTGATGATAAATGAACGGATTGTAAAGAATGGTATTGTATTCCAATATTGAAGTTACTGATTTGTGATTGTGATTTAAGTCAATCTCATAGTTTTTGAAATCTTCCTTTAGGACCATATGATTTATGTTGGGTCGTGTGTGTGTGGAGGGGAATGTAGATGTGGAAAGAGTCAACGTTCCGTTACATTATGTGGTAGAGGAGCTCTTTCAACTTTCTCCTATATATGTACACTCCGTTACCGGCCCATTTGTCACTTCACGCACTCCATAGCGTCTATTTATATGCTTACACATATTCATATACACACATACTTTATGGTTTTGCATATATATGATATACACACACAAACACACATGCATAGGTTTGAGAGTATGTTGATTGTTGACAGAAGATAGAGAGCACTAAGGATGACATGCAAGTACCGCATATGGATGATAAAATATGTAAAACAAATTCAAGAGAAGAGAGAGCGAGCGAGAGCCTGCATATCTACTCTTTTGTGCTCTCTATACTTCTGTCACCACCCTTGTTTCTTCTTCTCTCTTACCTTACCTATATTATATATGCACACATATATACATTCACATCTATGCATAATACTTACATGGATGCGTGCATCATGCATGTCATATCACATGACATGAGGTGATTTCGTTTTAGTAATTAAACGTTTACTTTCTTGACACTACTTGAAGGCGCCATTAAATGTTTTGTTTTTTTTATGCTGTAATTTTGATATCGTATCGTGTTCATATATCGACCAATGAACTGATATTGACCATTCACAAAAACTAATATTATATGCATGCAATTTGTTATATTCAAGATTATATACCAAATTGCATTGTCTTGTACAGCCAAGATTTCGATACTTTCTTTGATTCATTTGGCAGGGTTTCAACTTTCAAGAAGCTTCGGTGACATGGAACAACAACAATCACGATGACGCTGTCTAACATGGTTTTTTTAATCCAGATCTTCTAAGAAATTTCAATACTGATTTTCTTAAAAAGAATCGATGTTGATTTGGAATACCTAGCTGTTCCATAGATTTTGTAGTGTGAAAATTGTTTTTTGAATTCGAGAAGGTAACAAAAAAATTTGTTTACTTGGTATATTATTGTAGAGGGAGGTTGGATGGATGAAAATAGAGTAAAAGTTCTAAAATTGGATAGAAAACAGAAAGTAGAAGCAAGAATAAAATATCATGGATTTTTCTTCTTCAAGGCAAGTGGTTACACATTACAATGTCTTTTTCTCTATCTATAAATATAGTGAAACTGAATATCTTCTTCCACACTTTTGTAACACAAAAAGAAAAAACTTGAAAATTTCTTTAATGCACTTAATTTCAGTTAAGAAGATTTTATTTATCAAGGAATGAGTTTACCAAGAAAGCAATTTACACATTGTACTAATAACTAGAATCAATACCCGAACCGGTAACCAAACCAAGTCAACCACGAAATATCCGAACTCTGGTCCGTATAGAGAAAAAACCAAACCGTTACTTTCAGTGAAGAAGAAGAAATACATCGACAACAAAGCGTAAGAGATTACATAGACTACACAGACCAATGCGTTTACATAAGCGTTTGGCGTTTTCATATGATTCTAATCACTGTTACATCAAAAAAGCAACCGCAGCCAAAGTAGTTCCATCACATTTTAATAAACACTCCGTTAATATACACACAAGAAAAACCAGAGAAGAATCTACATAGCATGAACCGCTGATTCGATCTCACCGTCCACTGATTCAGCCGTTTCTCTGAACGACTGGCTATGGAGATGCCTGGTAAAACTAGTGGTCGTATCCAAGAAATATAGAATCGAGGACAACATACAACAGCACACAAACATTGGGATGGGACCGAAGGTCCATAGGAAGAGCGGGAAGGAGAAGTAGAAAGCCCTCAATCCCAGAGACCAGAAGTAGCTAGCTCGGTTCAGGTTTCTAGCCACATACTCGCAGTGCTCTCTCTTCCCTCTCGACACGGGCACTGTGACTAGGAAACTCACGTGAGCGTAGTACCTGATTGACTGTACGTTGCAGAGAAAGGCCATGAGGAAGCAGATGAGGATCGTGAAGTTCTTGATTGTCGCGAGGAGGGGGCTTTTGTTCCCGTATATAATAGCCGACGCTGTGGATTTCGAAGCTGAGGAGTTGCTTACAAAGACGCCGATGATGGAACATAGAGTGATTGCTGTTGTGGCTAAAAGGGTCGATGCCATTATGTTGTTCCTGATTGTCTGTACTGCTAAAGTACCATTCTTCAGCGGCTCCTGCAAATAACATTAAGAAAACTGAATCTTAATGGGAAGTGGGAACTTGACTAAAACAAGATTTTGGAAAAATCACTGTGTTCTTGTTTCGCTTATGTCAAGGGTTCTGTTCCTATCTAATGTTTAGCTCCAAGATTAACTTCAGCAACGTATAGTCAAAGTAACGAGAAGAATACTGCTTATATATACTCATCGAAGTAGAAATAAATTGAGCTTTCTGCAGAAGATAGCTCACGGGCTACTTCAAACTTGATTCTACTTATAGAGTTCACATTTTAACACCGCTTGATAGCTTTAAAGTTTCTATTTTTCCCAATTTCACATCATCCTTGCTCATAATCCCAGCTTAATTTGGCTAAATCAGGTTTAGCAGATCCAAATGATGGGTTATCGGTTCTCAATTAACCTCAGAATCATGAAAATGGGGAAATTTGGAATTCCTAAATTCACGAACAAAGCAGCTCCATCGACATAAAACTCGAGTTTCAACCCAGAATACCAGATAATCCCCACTATATAAACCCTAATTTAGACCCCCAAAAATCTCCAGAATCAGAAATACCAGAGAGCGTCGTCACCAACGAATATGACCCAAGAGGAAGAGCAGAGAGGAGAAGAGAGAAACGTACGGTCATCATAGAGAAGACCCATTGCCGTCGAGATTCAGCGTTGAGAGAGATAACAGTGAGCTTGGGACGGTGAAGTATAGCGTGGCCGAGCCAGACATGGTAGGCGACCATCACGGCGAGACCTGCCGGCACAAGCACTACATCCAACGTTTCCTCCTTCCACATTCCTACTTCCCCGCAGCTATACTCGCGACTCGTATGGTTCCGTGATCGGGAAAGAAGAGAAAGATCGTCGGCCAAAAGATTTTGGCGGAGGCAAGAGAGGAAAGAAGAAGCCAGCGAGGAATTGAAAATCCCGAAGCTGGAGAGAGCGATGGCATTCACACGTGTTAATTTTTCAAACTTTTAAAAGGAGGCCACGTGTCATATGTCACACGTGTTAACACTAACAAACAAACTCAAAAGTCCAGGGGGATAGCAACTCATTCTATCATAATTTTTACTGCAAGTTTCTGTTCTTTGGGCCTTGAAGATGGGCCCAAAAAATCAGTTACTATAATAATCTCGTGTGCGGGTGATTTCGTGCGTAATTTAATAAAAAAGATAGCAAAATAAAAAAAAAAACTTCGAGGGAACATTGCAGAAAACCCTAACTTCAACGGGAAACCCCAAAATCAGAATCCCTAGATCGAGGCCGAATTGGAGTCTCTTATAAAGTCTGGGTTTCGGTTTTGGAATGTAGGTGCGTGTGCATAAGAGGAATTCCCTGTACTTGAGAGTAGTAATGTCAAGTGACCGGCGAGAAGGTCAGCAGGAGACGACTACGGTGGACCGGAACGGAGCTGTTGGGGGTAATTCTCATGCGGTGGCTCCTCCGACGATGAGAGCCACGGCGTCGACGGTCCCTGTCCAGAGACTGAGGCTAAACCCTAACAACGAGCACAGGCCGGATAGTTACGAGGGTATGGTGCTGGATTTCCCCAGTTCGATATATTCCAGTCTTGAGAAGTACTTGCCTCCGAATATGCTGGTATCGAGTAGGGAAGAGAAAGTGAAATTCATGACTGACATTATGCTCAGGCACCTTCCCCATGGAGAGCGTTCTAGAGTAAGTTCAATTTTCTGACCCTTCTCTAACTTTTTTGTATACTTCTTGAAAATGAGATTGGACTTGCTTTGGAAGTTCTGTGATGATCTCTGGGTTAGTTTCTTGTGCATTTACTTCACATTGATGCAAATTGGTGTTTTCTTGTTTCTTTTTGCCTTAATTTTGCTAAATGCTTGTTGAAAGCTTCACTTGGTTAGATGAAGAATACAGATACTTGATGTAAAGATTTTGTTTTCTTTATTGATGCTACAGGCTCAAAGGCACAGCGACTATAGGCAGAAGATAATATCAAACTATCAGGTGTGTGAATCATTTCTTGAACTTTAAATGTGTTCCATTTTCGTGCTTGCTCCAATCATCAGCTAGTAGTTTGAAATGTTTTCTCCTGCAGCCACTTTACAGGGAGTTGTATACACTAGTTCCCTCACTGTGTTTCGTTCCAGATTTCCTAAAGGCCATAAACGAAAACACAGAGAAAAGCTTCAGAAAGATAATATATGAACCGTCTCCTGGTGTTTTTGTCTTTGACATGCTCCTACCTAGCTTTTGCGAGATGATGCTAGCCGAGGTAATGTGCATCCTTTTTTTTATTTATTTTTCCTCTACCCTTCTCGTTTATCTTTATGTCTTGTTCATGTGCTTATCCATGCAGATAGACAATTTTGAACACTGGGTGGGTGAGTCGAAATTCCGGATCATGAGACCAAACACCATGAATAAATACGGTGCTGTGCTTGACGACTTTGGTCTGGATACCATGCTTGAAAAACTCATGGAGGGTTTTATACGTCCCATTTCCAAAGGCAAGATATAACTTAAATCCATTACAATGACTATTATTAGGAAGTTCCTTTAAATGCCACCGTGCTGACTAAAAAGCTACATACCATCTTTTGTTTTGTAGTATTCTTCAGTGATGTGGGTGGAGCAACCCTGGACTCTCACCATGGGTTTGTTGTTGAGTATGGTAAAGATAGGGATGTTGATTTAGGTGAGACCTTTCGTTCTTTGAGTTATCCTGCAGAATTTTTCACATGACCTGAGTAGTAGTTGCCTTAAATGCAGATAATTACGTAATTCTGGTTGAATATATAAGCATTTCTTATGAATTTTGCAGGCTTTCATGTGGATGATTCAGAAGTGACACTGAATGTTTGCTTGGGTAACCAATTTGTGGGAGGGGAGTTGTTTTTCCGAGGCACACGGTGTGAGAAACATGTCAACACAGCAACAAAGTCTGACGTATGCTACTCTTTTTGAGCTGCTTTCTTCTCGTACAACGTTTTATATCTTGCTGGGTAGCTGATTTAAACCGTTGTTTTCTTACGAAAGCAGGAGATATTTGATTATTGTCATATACCGGGGCAAGCTGTACTTCACCGTGGGCGCCACCGCCATGGAGCCAGAGCCACAACAGCCGGTCATCGGGTCAATATGCTTCTATGGTGCAGAAGGTATGTGTAGCAATTGAAACCGATATATGTTTTCATATGAATATTCATTTGTTTTTCCTGTTTCTTATCAAGATTCTTCCTTGGTATGTTGTTCAAACGCAGCTCTGTGTTTAGAGAGCTCAAAACTCACCAGAAGGAATTCTCCAGCTGGTGCGGAGAGTGCTTTGGTGAAAAGAAAGAGAGGAAAGCGCGGGAGTTTGATGCTCTAAGAAAGGTAAAAAAGCATTTGATTGATCAAATGCATATAGCTCTCTCTGTCTTGCTTACCATAAAGGGTAGAGATCAATCATATGCTCTTTATTTTGCTATTGCAGAAATTGTTTAAACCGCGTCCAACCCAAGCTTGAAGAAACTACTGATAAGATAACTAATTGGTAGCTTATAATATTTGATGACTTTAGAACTTGAAATCAATCTCTCTGCAGAGTTGCTCCTGTTTTAAGTTGACTTAAAACTGAGACTATGTAGAAAATCATTTGAAGTATATGGCTCTCTGTTTGTCTTTTCTCGACTCTGAGATTATTATGTACATTAAATCTAGTCTCACAACTTCACCTGTATCCCAAGGAGTTGTATTTTTTTTTTTTTTCTCGACTCTTTGTCATACTGATTGTATTTGGTGGTGCTGCTGCTCTCTAAAAAAGACGTTTTTAGTAGTGAGTCGTGCTCTTCACTGATGGCTAGAGCCACAAATCATTGATTATTATTGTACCATTTACCTTTGCGTAGTCTCTATTGAATAGAGAGAAGTGTTAGGGCTTATTTGCACGTTGTCCAAATTAATGGAAGAGAGAAGAATTCAGATTTGAATGTGTTTTGTATCTGTCTACTTATCTCATGGCAAGACGAATCGAAATTGGTTGTGAAACGGTACCACCAACTTAATTAGTTGACTTTAGGCTGTTCATTGAATCCTTGTGAATCTGTTATTTATGTCTTTTTTTTTTTTTTAATAATATGCTCTTTGCATTAATTTTCACACCATATCCGGTTTTCGTGTTTCTTGGTATCTTTCGACTATCTAAGTTGATACGATGTTTATATGATCGTACCGATTCGGTAGAGCTTTTCCATCGCGGGAAAATGTAGTTGAACACACAATTCACTTAAGAAGGATTATTCTATTGGGTCTGATTGCATTTTCTAAAAGTAAAGATTTGATCTCACTATGTTTGCCAGTTTGTTGTTGATCTTTGGTCATCTTATAATTGTGTTGTCTCTATGTATCAATTTTGGTCCCTCTTTCTTTTCGTTTGGATTCTGAAGTTGGAATCATTGTGAATTGTGTGATTAAAACAGAGTTCTCACATATCATGAGCTGAAAAATAGAGAGAATCTTGCATGTGTCCCACTAAGAATTAAAAAATAGTACAAAGTACAAATTACTTAAATTATTCTTTAAATTAATTATAAATCATTTTGCAAAGTGATCATCGTTTTTTTTTTTATTATTCAAGCTGATTAGTGGTACATTTGGTTGCAGCCGTTTTGTAAGAATCTAATGACATGAATAAGAACAAGTTAACTGAATAAACGGTGGTTGCTCCTTGGATATTTTTTTATTAGTGAACTTATTCATCAAATCATTCATATGAGATTGATTGACGATTAATGGTTTTCCACATTCAAGACAAGATGCCTAATTCTGTGGTAGATCACATGTTATTCGATTCCATAAACTCATTATTACAAAGGAAAATAAAACTTTAAAAAAATATTACCCCAAAGGAAGAAGATGAATGCTTTCAACAACAAAATTTGTTTACCTGTCGCTCACAAATTTACGTTGGGTAGTATAAGTGTCCTTTTTTCGATAAAGAAAAATCCAAAAACAATGACATATTGTTAGCCAAACTAAGTAAACTAGTGTATGATTTTGTTATCTATAAAATTTTGTTTCAGACATGAAACATTATTGATAATCCAATTTGAATATAAAGAAAAAGTAAAAACCATATCCAAAATTCAAACCTAACCATAACCATAGTAGATTCATTTTCATTTGCAATGTTATTATTTTCAAATTAAAATTTCATACCGAAATTATATTAAAACTCAGATTAAAAACTGCATGTAGATATGATCATATGGGTAATGGGCGTCAGATTTTGATCCGAACTCATAGTTGAAGAGATTTGTTATCATTGTCATAACCAGAATTCAGAACTATTAGTATGTGTGGAAGTTGTAGAACATAAAAAGCAAAAAAAAATTCACATTAAATGCGAGTGGAACTACATACATATCTACGTCACATAAACATGCAACCTCCAAATCGTTATATTATAGTCAATTAATCATCTTCATTATCATTATTCATAATCATTAATTACAAACAAATATAGTGGCCCACTTGAAGAAATGATGATGTACCATTCAGTTAGCCCCTAAACCCAATCATCCAAATTATTGATTATAATCAGTAATAATATTTGTTTTATGTTTTAAATCTCAAGTCTACCACGACACACATTCATATAAAAGCAACCTTTGATGTGCTATTAAACATCAGAAGAGAACAGCCCAAGAAGAAGCTAGAAGAAGAAGAAAAAGAAGAGAGAATGGCGAAAGGAGTAGTATCAGAGAAGATGAAGCTTGTGGTGGCATTGATCACACTTCAGTTCTGCTTTGCAGGTTTCCACATTGTCTCAAGAGTTGCTCTTAACATTGGTGTCAGCAAAGTTGTGTACCCTGTTTATAGGAATCTCCTTGCCCTTCTCCTCATTGGTCCCTTCGCTTACTTCCTCGAAAAGTAAGTCCTTTCATCTCTCAGAGTTCCAGGGTTTGCTAGAATGGCTTTCTGTGATTATTATGATTGAAAAAAGCAAGAATTTGACATTGTTTCTCATCTGAGATTTTGTGTAGCTTTAGAGAGTTTGTCTTTGATCTCATTTTGGTTTCTTGGGTAATTTTTCATTAAGTTAATCTTTCTTTTATTGGTTTTCAATATTCTTAACAATGCATTGTTTCAACAGAAAGGAAAGGCCTCCACTCACAATCACTTTACTGGTCCAGTTCTTCCTCTTGGCACTCATTGGGTAAGCAGAACAAAAGTAGATCATAGGTTTCTTCTTCTGATCACCATAGCTTATAATTCTGAAACTCTGTGTTTGAAATCAGAATCACAGCGAACCAAGGATTCTATCTATTGGGACTGTACTATGCAACTCCAACGTTTGCTTCCGCGATGCAGAACTCTGTTCCCGCCATCACTTTCATCATGGCTTGTGCCCTAAGGTACCTAACAACCTCTTTCATGGAAATATCGTTTTTAAGGGTATTAATCATCTTCTTATGTGCGTCTAACTTTAGTCTTCCTCTGTGTGTCCAGGTTAGAGCACATAGATCTGGTCAGGAAACACGGTGTGGCTAAAGTATTGGGAACTCTAGTGAGCATCGGTGGAGCCACAGTGATCACACTGTACAGAGGATTTCCGATGTTTCATGAGACCATTAACATTCACGAGGAGGAGGAGATCGATTCTAACAAATCTCAGAACTGGACACTCGGATGGTTATACCTTATGGGACATTGTCTGTCATGGGCTGGTTGGATGGTTCTTCAAGCTCCTGTCCTAAAGAAGTACCCAGCAAAGCTCACTCTAACATCCTTCACATGTTTCTTCGGTCTGGTTCAGTTTCTGGTCATTGCTCTGTTTGTGGAAACTGATCTCAATAACTGGATCATCGTCTCTTGGGAAGAGCTCTTCACCATCCTATACGCGGTTAGATCTCTCTCCTTCTCTTCCTTCTCCTTAATCTGAATCTAAGACACTAGCTAAATGAATCTTTGGTTGGTTGTGTTTACAGGGAATCATAGCGTCAGGGTTGGTTGTTTATCTTCAGACATGGTGCATCTACAAAGGCGGTCCTGTCTTTGTCGCAGTCTTCCAGCCTCTCCAGACACTTCTTGTTGCTGCAATGGCGTTTCTCATTCTTGGTGAACAGTTATACTCTGGAAGGTAAAACACATTGAAAGAGAGATTATGTGGGTTTCTTCATTTCGATCGCTCGTTCTAATTCAATCTTTGCTTTTTACAGGATTGTTGGTGCAGTATTCATAATGCTGGGGCTCTACTTAGTTCTTTGGGGTAAAAACGAAGAAAGAAGACAAGTGGTTGAAGAGACGAGTCAAACAGATCCGGAGTCTCTGACCAAACATTTACTTGAGGCAGAACACAAGAAGGGTAATGCTGAATCTGCAGTGTAAAACTTTACATTTTGCAAACACAACGCCATATATCCCTCTGTACATACACACACAAGATTGGTTCCATAACTACATGAGAACTTGGCGAATACAAAGGCTCCTCAAGTGGGTCTTTCATAGTTGTTTACTTTTTAAGTTGTAATCAAAATCGGGTTGCAATTAATTCATGAATAAATGAAAAGATAAGTTGAATCACGTTGACGAAAGAGAAACAAATAGTAACATGTATGTTCTGATCCGGTCTGGTTAAAGACAGACCAATGAGCTGGAGACACTCATGTGTCCTGTTATACAACGAATCGATGACATTTGTAAGATTATCCAGATAGGTTGTTAAAGACAGACCAATGAGCTGGAGACACTCATCTGACCCATATCACGCATTTAAGCCCCAGTAGTAGAAGTTCTGACTATTATAACCAAAATATGAAACAAAAAAAGAGAAACCTTGATATCAAAGTCACTAGACAGAAAAACACTCGCACTAAACCACAAATAAGACCACTTAACAAAAAGTGGCCCAAGTTCAACCATTGTTCAAACGCAAAACACGAAAAATAAGAAACAAAGCTTAGATAGAGAGCAAGATAAGTGTTCTTGGGACCTGTTTTGAGTGAAACTACCACACTACCTCACGGTAACGATGTCATCAATCTTCAAAATCATCCTTACGCATTCCGTTGCCAGAGTGATCGCACTGGTACTCACAAGCAGAGGCTGAACCACGTTTTCCTCCAAGATATTAGTGATCTGACCTTTCCTCACATTGATTCCGGAGTTGATTTCCCCTTGGGCATGCTTGTTCCTGAGCTCAGTCACAATCGCAATAGGGTTCAACCCTGCATTCTCGGCCAGCGTGTAAGGAATAACCTCGAGAGCTTCAGCGAAAGACTTCACGCAGTATCCTTCCATCCCGTGGAGGACCTTAGCCCAAGCACCTAGTTGCCTCGAGAGCTCAATCTCTGGTGCACCACCTCCTGCAATCAAGAACCTCTTGCTCACCAGGCACCTGACAACACACAACGCATCGTGCAGACTCCTCTCGGCTTCATCTAGCACAAGCTGGTTGGAGCCACGGACAAGAACAGAGGTAGTTCTCCCCATGTCTCTGATCCCAGTGATCTTCAAAATCTTTCCATCTCCAAGGGAGGCTTCTTCAACAAGATCAGCATGGCCAAGCTTCTCAGGTCTGAAATGTTCGATGTTGGCGATCGGCAGGCAGTTCAGTGTCTTGGTGACGAACTCAATCTCATCCCTCTCCACATCCTTGATCACCATGATTTTGGCCTTAGCCAAATAGTGAAGAGACAAATCAGTCACAGCATCCCTCAAAATACTCTTCTGGATAAGCAAAACGTTGCAACCAGAGGCCCTGATCTTTTTAATCATCCCCAAGATGTAGTTCCTCTCTTCTTTCAAGATCCTATCCATCTGAGTGTAATCAGAGACGACAATACTTTGCTCGATGTCGGTCTTGGGAGGCGAGATCTGGAACTGAATCACAGCGATCTTAGCATTCTCCATCCGAGTCGGCCCACCAGCGGCATGGCTCACCTTCTTGTCAAAGACCAAACCTTTCACTGTGTGCGTATCATCCACAGTACCACCAAGCTTCTTAACAATCTTGATATCACGCAAATCCACTATGTCTGGCTTTGCCGGATCTATAACAGAGAGCACAGCATCTACAGCTAAAGGAGCAAGCAATGTGGAGTACTGACTAACGACCTTACTGTTAAGCGACGTGCTGGCGGATTTGACGAGGGAATCTCGGTCAGTGAGCTCCACAGGGACGGCCATGGCAGTCAAGATATCAACCGACTTCGCGCAAGACTTGTGAAGCGCATCTGAGATGACGGTGGGGTGGATCCCGGCCGTGAGAAGGGTCTGACACTCCTTGAGAAACGCGCCGGCTAGTACGACGACAGTGGTGGTCCCATCTCCGGCGGCCGAATCCTGCGATTTGGAAAGCTCGACAAGCATCTTCGCCGCTGGCTGCAAAACCTCCATCTTGTTGAGGATCGTGGCTCCGTCGTTGGTGATGATGACCTCGCCGCTCGCAGTCGAAATCATCTTGTCCATACCTTTCGGTCCCAAACTCGTACGAACGGAGTCTGAGACGGCGCGAGCAGAGTTGATGTTCGAGAAACGGACATCCTCCTTCCGCTTGTTGTCTACAAAGGATTCAGCTTTGGATGCGCGGGGCCTCGATGCCATGGGTGCCGTCGCCGCCATTGTTGACTACAACCGAGAGCTCGAGATCTGATTTGATCTCTACGGGAAGTAAGCTCAATCAGTGATACGAAAGAAAAAAGGGAATTTGCAGAAAACCCTAGACAGAGCGCAACAAGAGAGAGAGAGAGAGTTCTGGAAATGAAAGAGAGAGAATAGAAAATTTTGAAAAATCCCCTAGGGTTTACGCTGCTATTTCCTTTTACGAATGGGCCTCTTCAGGATTTTGTGAGTAAACCTATATTCGGCCCAAAAGCCCATTGTAGAGATATACTGAAGAGTATGCAACAGTGGTTGGTTTCTCAACAGCTTTACTTTTCTTTTGGGCGTAATTTTAAATGTCTCACTTTTTATGTGAAATTTTATAAGTTGAAACTATTGTTGGTACAGAATCATGTAAATAATAAAAATTACATTCGAAACAATAGACGAAAAGCAGGCCTAGTATGGGCTTCACGCAGAAAAGCGGGCTAAATGGGCCAACAGTTCATAGCTCACTCGGCAGTGAGCTCAATGTGAGGACTTGCATCATCGATTAAGGATTATACAAAGTTAATCATACTTTCATAATTTCATTTGACATTTCTGTTTTTTTTGTCTTATACAGATCAGATCGATAAAATTTCATTTTCGTGTTTGATAATATATATTCCAATCCAACTACAAGAAGTTGATAATTTACAGTATACGAATGGAGTAAATATTTATTTTACACCTACTACTGCCTCCGCAATAACTCAAAAGCTTTAACAAGAACCGGCTTCAACCGGTTTATATCAACACTCACGTTCTGCTGTACCAAGTAAACCGACTTGAACATTTCCCACCCGCGTTTCGCAACCGCCGATGGATCTCTCACGATCTCGTGATCGCGCCCGTACTGCCGCACCAGCGTGCTCTCCTCCGGCGCGATCTTGTATTCCAAATACCTTAGATTCATTCCCTTCGAAGGATCCTCGAAATCCGTCTTCGCGAGCCACTCGAATCCACCGATCGGAAGAATCTGAATCACGACCGCGTTCTCCGGCAAGAACACCATGTTCGTAAGCCCGGCGCCGTGAACGCCGAGCATCACGTCGCAGGAATTCACGGTTTGGGCGAAACTCGCGACGCCGGTGTTCGCTTCCGCCACCACGACTTTGAATCCTACTTGTCTCGCCGCTCTCGCGATCTCGCCGGCGTTCACGAATGCTCGCGATCTCCCCCTCGACAAAATCAGGATCCTTGGCCTCCGCCGCCGACTCTGCCTCGTAGTCACGGCAGCGTTTCTCAACGAGTATGTATCTCTTAGGAATCTCCGGAAATCGGACATGGAATACTCCGAATTCGAAGGATCGATCGTGAGCTCTTTGAAATACTCAGGGTGGCGATGGAGACCGACGATGACGCTGCTGAAACAGTGCGTTTCGTCTTCTTCGTCGATGTAAATCACATCGTAATTCGACAGACTCCTCACTGTTTCCTTAAATTTGTTGATCCACGACGGATTCTTGTTCGTCACGAGGAACTGGACTTCTCCGTTGAATCTACGAGCCGTCGTGTACAGAGGAATCACGATGTCGGTGAAATCGTGGAAATTGTTCATCGAGTAGCCTCCGAGAGAGAAAAGCACCGCCGGGACGCTGTGGCTTTTAACGCAACGCGAGAAACTAGCGTTCTCTAATTGGTCAGCGTTTTGTGTTAATTTCACCGTCCATTCTCTCACTCTATTCATCGCCGCAACGTCACCTTTTCTCGCGTAAGGTTTCACTTGCCACGTGGAGTTTCCCGAAAACGCAGACGTGATCGCGGCAAGAACCGTCGCGGATTTGCCGTGGATTCTCACGTCGCCGCTTAGTTCACAGAACTCTGTTCTTGCTAGCTTGTTACAGATAGGTTTCATGGTTTCCTCCATTATATCTCCCTTTGAAAATTCACCTAAACAAAAGAGAAAAAAAAAAACACTTTGTCAGAATTGTAAGTACAAAGATATATTGATTAAAACCATAACAAATTAAGAAACTTTTTAGAAAATGGGAACCTGAAATGGCTTGTTCTTTGGAGATTGTAGCGTTAGTAGTACAGTTGAACGAATCAAAATGATTGTTGGGCAAGCTTGTCTCGTTGGAGACACTAAGATTGTTATCTTCAGAACTGATTAAGGTCGGAGTAGTTGTTGCATTTGACGTAATATTATTATCTTGATTCGTAGGAATAGCGAGTTTCTCAGAATCTCCAGATGTTACATCGTTGCTGCTCCTTAACGCTTGCGGTTTCTGCGATTCTGTTACTCTCAGCATCCTGAGACCAGCGTCCACTGATAATTGCAACTCCACTGAAGAAAGAAGGAAAAAAAAAAACGTTAAATGATTGTTTCTGCGTCTCTCGTAGCGTTTTGAGACGCGGTAAAGGGACTCACCGATTGGTAGAGGGCTGAGAAAAGGTTTAAAGACAGTGCAAAGAGTGAAGACGAAGAGAAGAGAGGCAATGAAAGCTCCATAGCCAAGTCTCTTCTGCTCGTTTTTGCTAAAGCTACGAGCAAGTATTGTATCGTAAAGTAGATCTTTCTCTGTCATAGTCTTTTTAGTCTATTAAGTTACACAAAAGCTTTTTCCTTTCTTGTGCTGCAAGAAAACTCTCGAAACAGTCTACTCGCTAATGCAGAGAGATATGAATGAAGGTTAGAGAAAGGATGGTGTGAAGTATTTAAAAAACTTGTTCTACGACATTGGGCGTGACTCGTGTTCAATGATTGCTTCTGTAAATGTCGGGATTTGAAGACAGGATCAAGAAGAGAAGTTTTGGGTGTTTAATTACCAGAGATTTTAAAAGTCGTTTCGTTTTAGTGTATTATTATAAGAACAGGATTTGATTAGTTTATAATTCTTGGGATTGTCGGCACTGGAGAGGAAGGATTTGGAGGGCATGAAGTTGTTGTTAGTAGTAGAAGAAGAAGAAGTCATAGTAAGCAGCTTAATGAATGCTCCCCACGATTCTTCTTTTTAGTTTCGTTTAAGTAAATTAAAATAAATAATATATAAATGAACACCAAACAATATTGTCTAAACTACGACTTCTATTAAAAGTATGGATACTACAATAATTTTAAATTAGAATTGCAACTCGCTAGAAACAACACAAACTAACGTTTTGAAAAACAAGAAAAGAGAAAAAACGATGGATGGGAAATTTGATGTGGAAATAGTTTCTTATACTGATATTTCATTTTAAGATGCTTGCTGTTGTAGTATACTTATATTCTTTGGGTAAAATAGAATTTTCTTACAAAACAGTATCATATGTGTATGCGTTCGTAAATCATCATAGGCTAGGAACCACAGCATCATGCATTCATGCGCGTAACATTACATTTTACTCTGAATAAATAGTGAACATGGTTCAAAACTACATTCGGATCGTATAAAAGTTTGTCAACTATTTCACCGACGCATCCTTGTTCAATTAGATCATCCAATAATAATATATCAAAATGTTTTCGTTAGACATGTATACAAAATAATTAAAAAAAAAATAGAAATGAAAGGAACTTTGTAGTTGACTGTTATGACACAACCAAAATCTAAATTATGTATACAAAATGATTGATTGTTCATTGTTTAGTTTTTGTTTCCTTGAGACCAATTAACGAAGGAGGCCGAATCAAGTTTGGCCTGAAAGGTATGAATCAACTAACAGTTGGTGAAATTTTTCTAGATTTATGTTAAACTTGGTTGTTCGATTGTCTTTGGACTTTTTCCAACAATTTCTCATTGTATATATATTCTTCTATATATATGGATATAATTATTAAAATATCTCCATCTAATCAGACTGATTCGATTGACTATTTATCAAAGTAGTTAACTGGAATTACAAATTATTACCCAAATCTAATTGATATTAACGGATGATGACGAAAATAATAGAAATGGCGTGCGACTTTTAATGACATATACGGATGTGATTGATCTAATTCTGAAATTGTATCATCACCCAAAAAAATATGTCTACCGGTTATAATCATTGGTGCATCTTGTTTTCAATAATGATTACTTCTCTTATGTTTTTGTTGCTATAACTTGAGTCTCACTACTGGAATCTGAATGACTAAATCTACTTTTTTCTTCTAAAAACTTATATTTAAAAATCCAAAACGTGCGGTGATTACCTCAACATCCAATAGAAATGTTATAAGCAAAACATGGACTTTTTTTCTATTAGTTAGGTGATAACCAATAAGAAACATCATAATAATAATAGCAATATAAGAGAGTTGTTAAGTAGGAAAGAGACATTTTAACAAGTTACGTGTCTTACAGCCTATTTGGTGGGTCGCATGAACGACGTACGTGTGCACCTTCCAATATACGTTTTTTCTTTTCTTTTTATGTATATAAATAATGTTTACATTGTTATTTGCATAAACTTACTGTTTATTTAGCTCTTGTAATAAACATGTCATATAGGTAATTGCTCACACTAAATATAGTTAACTTTTTATTGACAACAGCAAATACTGTTATATAAACCAGTCTAAATTAGGATGGAGTCAAACGATTAAAAAGATATTTCCTATGTATGCAGAAACTTATCTAAAATTCAAAGATTTTTCTTTTAAAATGTCCTGAAATTATTTTCCGAATAAGTGAGACTTGTTGATCAAAATAATCAAATCTTTTGATATCGAGATAACGAAAAACTTGTAATCAAATTTTTGAAATCTTTTCAGATATAATTTATTTTTATATTGGTAATGCTCTCCATTAATAATCCCTTTTTTTTTTTTGAATTACACTTGGAAAGAATTCTATATCTAGTAACCTGGGGCTTTAAAAGTTACAGTATTTAACAAGCACACATACAATAAGGGTGGATTTTTGAGAAAAAAAAAAGAATACAAATCCATAATTTGATAGTTTATATATACTCTTTTTGTTTCATAATAAGTGTCATTTTGAGAAAATGTATCTGCATTATAACTGGATGTATCTGGATGTGTTTTGAGGTTAATACATCCAGTTATAATACAAATATATTTTTTCAAAATGACACTTATTATAAAATAGAGATAGTATAAAAGAATGTTTACATTGGTAGTGTAATCGGGTTTTAGAGATTTGATAGTTTATGTTTTTATGATAAAATCGGTACAAGATCCAAAAAAGAAAAAAAAAAAAAAAAAAAAAAAAAATTATGAGCAAACGACGGGTTGTCCTCGAAAAGGAGGTTTAATAAATTTACATCTGCAAACACGTTTGCTTTCGCCTGGATCGAGAAGGGAACACTCGCAATCATAAGGGTACTCGCCCATAGCATTAAATCCTTTTATGCACGTCTCGCGTCCATCCCAGCCACAATTGTTCTCGAATATTAGTGCATATACGCACACATTGACCCCATCGATCATCTCAGTTTTCACCTCTGTTGTTTTGTATCAGCAATATAGAAGAAAAACAAAAGTAATTCATCATATGCATGACGAAGACTATAAACCATATTATATATAGAACCGTTAAATCAAAAAGAAAAAAAAAAGAAATGTATGACGTACCTTTCACATGGTTGAGAATGAAGAACGTGAGAACACAAGAAACCATGAACAATGTACTAGACTTCATGATTCTTACAATAATAACTAAAGGATATTCCCTTTGTTATTTGCAGAAACTTATTGTTTATTTTGCTCTTGCAATAAACATGTTATATAGGTAATTGCTTGCTCACACTAAAGATAGTTAACTTTTTGTTGACAACAGCAAATACTGTTTTATCAACCAGTCTAAATTAGGATGGAGTCAAACCATAAAAAAGATATTTCCTATGTATGCAGAAACTTATCTCTAAAGTTATTCAAAGATTTTTTTTTTTTATATATATCCTGAAATTATTTTCCAAATAAGTGAGATTTGTTGATCAAATAATCAAATCTTTTGATATTCATAACGAAAAATTTGTAATCAAATCTTTTGAAATCTTTTCAGATATAATTTATTTTTATATTGGTAATGCTCCATTAATAATCCCATTTTTTTAATTACACTTAGAAAGAATTCTATATCCAATACCCTGGGGTTTTAAAAGTTATTTATCAAGTACACATACAATAAGGGTGGATTTTAGCAAAAAGAATACAAATCCATGATTTAAGGGGGTTATTGGGAGATGGATTTATAAAATTTTGCTTGATTTTAAAAGTTGATATATTTCTTAATTTTTTTAAAAAAAATTATTAGGTTTGAAGAGAGTTTGTATATTTAGAAAATCTATAAAAATATTTTAATGCGATTGATTTTGAAAATCTTATAGAGATAGCTAATATTTTGAGCGTTTTGACTTATGTGATAATTTGTTTAAAATCAATGTTTCAATAACATCTTTTTAATAGAATCATGAAATTTTTTAAATCTAAACTTTTTAAATAACACTGAATTTTAGTAAGAATATCATAATTCATTAACCAATAATAATAAATTTTAGAAATTTTAACAATTTTCTAAAATCCATCTATCAGTAATCCCGTTAATATTGTTTGTTTGGTTCTTGTAATAAACATGTTAGTTTTATCTAAACAAGTGTACATTAGGATGGGAGAAAACGGAGAAGGAAGAAGTGTAAAACCAAGTCAACGAGATTGACAAGATTGGCGGTTGATTTTAGAAATAAAATTTGTCATTAAAATTCATTTATATAATAAGATACTACTAATTAACTGTGGATGTTTTCATCATACCTCAATTAGTCAGTTATCATCATCATACACTAAAAAAAAATTATTATCAGCAATATAGTGTTTTTGTTTCATCTCTGTGTGAAACACCATAATGCGTACTGGTTTACAAAATTATATGCTGGATGAGAAAGCATAATGCGTACTTCAATGTTAAATTCAATTTTTTTTGGCTTAGACATTGAATTTAGTTTATCTTTAGTAGGAGAAAAAAAACTATTATCAGCAATATAGTGTTTTTTTTTCATCTCTGTGTGAAACACCATAATGCATACTGGTTTACAAAATTATATGCTGGATGAGAAAGCATAATGCGTACTTCAATGTTAAATTCAATTTTTTTTGGCTTAGACATTGAACTTAGTTTATCTTTAGTAGGAGAAAAAAAATTATTATCAGCAATATAGTGTTTTTTTTTCATCTCTGTGTGAAACACCATAATGCGTACTAGTTTACAAAATTATATGCTGGATGAGAAAGCATAATGCGTACTTCAATGTTAAATTCAATTTTTTTTGGCTTAGACATTGAATTTAATTTATCTTTAGTAGGAGAAAAAAAACTATTATCAGCAATATAGTGTTTTTTTTTTATCTCTGTGTGAAACACCATAATGCGTACTAGTTTACAAAATTATATGCTGGATGAGAAAGCATAATGCATACTTCAATGTTAAATTCAATTTTTTTTGGCTTAGACATTGAATTTAGTTTATCTTTAGTAGGAGAAAAAAAACTATTATCAACAATATAGTGTTTTTTTTTCATCTCTGTGTGAAACACCATAATACGTACTGGTTTACAAAATTATATGCTGGATGAGAAAGCATAATACGTACTTCAATATTAAATTCAATTTTTTTTGGTTTAGACATTGAATTTAGTTTATCTTTAGTAGGAGTATAAACTATAGGCAGCAGAGAAATCTGATTGAGAGAATGTGGAGAATGAGAGAGAATTATAGGAGGGAAGAAAAATAAAGGTGAAAGGGAATGTACTTTTAACAAAAACCTACACAACAGGTCACTGCATCATTCTAAAATGTTATTTGTTCATCACATAAACAGAGACAATCATTCACCTGATATGTTTCTGATAAAATCATTATCTTGTTCTACAAATAATATTTGAAAATATAACGGAGACATGATGATAGATTAATAGAAAGCTTGATAAACGCAAGTAAAGGCGGCACCAACAGAGCCCCATCACGGTTGCCTCACTGCGTTTGAAGCGGCTTAGCACTCTCTAGTTTTTCTTCTAAGTTCCATTCCCTGAAACCCAACCACAAGTGTTTTAGTTTTGCGCTTAAATACAAACTCTCGAGTGATGCAGAGAGGTAGGACAAAAATTTATTCACCTTTCAGCAGCTTCCCTTTTGAAGGACTCGATTTGTGTCTCAAGCACGGCACAAGCAGATTGAATCTCCATATTCTTCACACAGAGCTGTCTCCATTCATGAGATAGCGCATTGAGCTCGTGCGCTGTGGTTTGCTGATGTGGCCACACAACAAAGTTTCAGATCACCCCGTAAACATAAAGACAAAGAGTGCAGCAAGGAATAAAGTGTCAAATACTTTAAAAAGTAATATCACCTGATGATACTTCCTTTCACGATTAACTTTTTCAATTTCCTCGTTCTGCTCCTGAGCTAGTCTTTGCATTCTGGAAAATAGAGACCAAGTAGAGTGTAGAGATCAATCTCGTTGTGTTTTAAGTTCCAAAAGTCAGAAATTAAGTACGACTTAAAGAGAGACATGTTCCAGGAACACGAAGAGCTTCTTATGTTTTCATAAGTACATAGAAGCTCTCACGCAGAAAGCACATGTAGAAAACCACAAAGCAAATCTCATGTACAAAAGCCAAAGAAGCATCTTATGCAATATCAGTTACTATGTAACGACAGTCAATTCAATCAGTGCTTCTGTACACATATATTTGAACAAACCTGGTCAAGAATACTTCTAGCCGATGGTTGTTCTGTCTCCAAAGCTCGGGGCCATGTTTTGACATCAATTCCAAATTCTCAAGCCTGTGAATTCACAAATCCAAGGTTTTAAGAGAGGAATCCAGTATGTAACAACTCGTCAGAAGAGAATCATGCATTAGAAACATTGATAAATTTGTGCTTACTCGATCATCTTCTGTTGCAATGACCGTTGATTCTTCTGAAGATACTGTTTCCAGGCAGCATCATCATTTTTCTTATTAGCAGGCGGCATTTCGAGCTTGTATCGGGATTCAAAATCGATCCGCACTGGAGGCTTCCCGGCTCGAACACGCTCATACTCTTTGCCAAGTATTGGGCAGCTCTGATATTCGGATTCAACCAACCAAAGGAAACAAAACCAATCAGTACATGAGACACTAAATAAACATACTTGCCCGTTGCAAGATCAGAACAGTTCTTCTACTTCAAGAAAAAACCTGTAGACAATCAAATCTCTAGAACAAAGCCTATCAATAAAGTGACTGAAAGAAAAGAAAAAGCTTCCACTCAATCGTAAGATTCTAGTTGATTCAGAACCCAGAAACCAAAACTATATGAAACTTGGTTAAATCACTCAAGCTCGGTGCTACCCCTTTCTCGATTCCGGATACTAAGAAAACAAACAGAAGAAGAGCAAGAAGAACTATAACATAGCAATGCAAAAACTGTCCCTCTTGACTGAAAGTCCACGATGAAGCAAAACCCAAAAACAAAAAAACGAAAAACGATTGAACTTCATCGAATTCGCTCTAAACCCTATTCCAACAAAAAAATTCATAGCTCGCGCTAGAAAGAAACGAGCAAACAAATCGAAAAGAGGGTCCACAGTGAAATTCACCTCGAAATCGAACTTAGGAAGAGGAGGCAAATCCTTGAGAAAATCAGCCGGCTTCCTAGAGCTGCGACGCATCTCTTCTTCCACCAAGCGGTCGACCTCCGTCTTCATCTTTTGATTACCGTAGTCATCGTCGATATAAGGAAGCGCATCGATAACCTCTGCGTTGGCCGCGCTCGCCCAGGGCCTTGCAGCCTCCGGCGCCGCCTCCAGCATCAACACGTCCCCATTGTTCGTCGCCATGACCGCCTCTACTTCAGAAATTGTACAGCCAGAAAGTGCCGAGAGAAGAAAGAGAGAGAATCGAGTGAACAAAAAAAATAGTACAGTATTTACCGGTTCCCTGACCCGACCCGGTTATATTGGGCCTCGGAATATTAGGGCCCGGGAAATTATAAGATGTGTAATACTGAATACAGTACGTTTACTTCTGCAAAACAATAATTTCATATATTTGTATGCCAATATCACATGTTTTGATACATATTGAACAATTATTCTAGAGGTTCATTTGACTATGAACAATTATTCTAGAGATGTTCATTTTACTATGTTGAAATAACTTTTTTGAAGTAAACAAACAATCAATTTGGCAATTTGCGATTATAGTGGCATATTTGAGTATAGAAGAGTGAAAAAGAGTTGAACTTCAGGCAAATCTCGGATGAGTTGCAAGAACCGGTTTTTGTCCGGTACAGCTGAAATCTCCGGCATCGTCTTCTCAATCTGTGGCACGAGCTTCGCCAATTGCATCCCCGTGGCCAAACCGGTCTGCTTTTCCATTTCCTCTACTAACGCTACGGTACAAGACTTGAGTGCGATCTCTGCTACATCTGTAAATTCAGTGCTGCAACAACAAGAAGAGACCAACAAATCTTTACATGACTGCAACGAAGAAACATCATCTTCTTCTTTTTCTTACTTTGAGCATTAAGCAGAGACGAGGAAAAGAGTGTAAAGAAGTGAAATTGTTCTGCAATTTTTGCGGGTTAAAGAGCAGAGACAATTTTTACCTTGTGAGTACTTCCCGTGTCTCGGTTACGAGTTGATGAAACTTGGTGACAGTTGCATCCGAAGAGAAAACATCAGTGGTGGTTGTGTCTCTTGGAAGCATTGTTGTGTCTTGAGCCATCATTAAATAATCTACCCAGTGATGTGGACATCCAGTGCTCATAAACACATCAAGAATCTGGACCACATTTTCTTGAAGAATTCTTGTGGTTAACACATCCTTCAACTGCGTTCTGCAATCAAACACGCATCGTTAGCTTTCATCTTCACATAGTATATTGATCTTATTGGCATTTGCAGAACCAAAGAATCAACATTCGAGGATGATGTAATGTACCCCTTAAGAACTTCTTTCACCGCACTCTTCATATTTGAAATCAAACTCGGCATGCCATTGGTCGCAAGATAATCAGCACTTGTCAAAAACTTTTGTTCGTCATCTCTATCTATGAGATCCAACTCTTCCTGTGACCGATTTGCAAGTAAATGAAATAAGAAAACTAGCATAGTGAAACTTGCAACCAGAAGGGAGCAACAAACAATGATTCTTTCCACATAATAAATGAGGTTAGTACAAAGTCTTACAAGTAAATGGGAGCTGCAAAGACCTCTAGCAGTGTCGATATACAAATGTCTGCCCAAAATGTTGACTTGAACCCTAATGTACAAACTAAGCATGGTGACTGACCACAGCGACAAAACCATCCTCGTGAAACCTGGAAAAAACAAACACATAAAGAATCCAGTGAGCCACGGGAACATATACAGCAAAGGAGCACACAAGTAGCAAGCAGCTACGCACTCAAGACTTTGAGCTCAGTCCAGAGTTGAAGCTTCTCAGGAGGAGTCAATGTTCCTTTTCCTTTTCTTAGCTTCTCCATAATACTAGAGACATCGATCTCCTCAGCAATGCGGCTACTCAAGTGACGCATCGCGTGAGGCAGTGTCGTAGTATCAGCAATCATCTGAATGTTCTCGAAATGGGCCTTCATTCTATAGCAGAGCATTGAGCAAAAACCAGAAAACAAGCAACAGCACTAGATTAGTGAGAAACTGTTCGTTTGCATATGAGAGAACAAAAGGAGATTGGGGGTTTCAGAAACTCAACTGGGTTTTGATGATTTCGTCATTTTCACGCTCTTTGGCAAGCTCACGTTCCAAGTCGGCGAGCTTACGAGTATGGGCATTGTATAGTTTGTAAAGCAAATACCCACTTCCTAAACAACTCGTCGTCACCAAAATCTTCCTTCTGTGCTTCCTCCAGAAACCCCTAATTTTTGACGCAAACGCAATGAAACCCGAATCAAAGATATTGCCCACTCCCAGTGGAATCAACAAAAGAGAAAGAAAAAAAACCTAATTTATCAGTTGTATGCATTATCTAAAACCCTACGGAACTGAAATCAATAGCGAGAGAAAGGAACACGAAAAAGAGTAGAGGAGAACAGACCTGACTAAATCCATGGCCTTTGAAGCTATTGGATCCGCTATTGGGTTCGAACCATCGAATCCATGGCTATAATTTTGAAATATAAAAACGGAAGAGAGATAAAGGAAAGGAGGCTTATAGTTCCCTTGTCTGTCGTTTTGGATTGAAGGGGGAAGATAGAAAGTTAAACTTTCCGGCGAGAGATGGATTTTGAGTTCCGATTTTCCGATCTCCCTCCCTCGGTGAAGAATGAATGTTATCACTTGAAAAAGCCACACCGAGGAGATTCCCTATTTTGGAAACTGGAATCTCTCCCAACCCAGAATCTCCTTTGTTTATTTAACCGAACTAAACCGAATCAAAGTGAATCCAAATATAACTCCGGTTGAGCGAGTGAGACCGATTCTATTATCTTTATTGTTCGGTTTATAAAAATCGAAATAAATTTTCATATGGTTTTTGGCTAGTGAATCAAACCGAACCCTGGTGCGTAGTGTTCGAAACCTAACAACATTTATTAAGATGGACCAACAAACAAGCCGGTTCAGCCATATTGGTTTACAAGTGTCCTCTCACGTGTAGTCAATTCGACAGTCTAACTTTCTGATTGAGCTTCACGTCACGAGTACATTGACAAGACAAAGCCAGATCAATCTTGTTACCTCCTTCACCATTTTCATCAGACAAGCCGCTTCAGTTTCAAGACATTATACAATACAAATTCTCCAATGTCTCCTTTCTTTAACAGACAGTCTTAATTCATCTAGTAATATATATGTCCGGTTTGATCTTCTCTCGTGTTTTCTATCAGAGACTTGTTCGTTGCTATTATCTCAAGTAGAACCATAGTAAAAAGAAAAAGATATAATACGATATATGTCTTGGTCATTACTTAATAGATTTGATTGATTGAGAGCAGAATAGATACACTGCTGTTGTGAGAAAGTGTTCGAACCAGCTCCTCAAACTTGAGGTAATGTCCTTCCAACTGTACGACCATTTTCTCTAACGTCTTTGTGTTTTTAAGCAGAAGTTTCATGAAAGAGGCCACATGCTTTGGCTCTGGATTACAGTGGGACTTGTTCCAAGCGACTCCATCTTTTGATCTCCAGCACTGATCCGCATTCAAGCCTTGCAAATCCACATAAGCGTCAAAAAACTCCTCCTGTATAACAGGAAAAAGATGTATATATATATATCCAAACTTGATAACAGTTCGTCAAGGAAAATAAAAAAGAGGTTTTGTATTGTCAACATACCCTTATAACGTTGTACTGACATGTATGTATTGTTAGTTTCTTCAAATGTGGTGAGTTTTGCAATATCTTTTCTATACTTGGAATAACATACTGAGAGATCGGTGTCACAAGAGTCAAAGCTTTAACCTTCAACGTCGGAAAAGTAAGACCACGAATCTCGGCAAGAGATAAAATCTAGCATAACAAGATAAAGAGTCATTATTATTGGTCAGAATTAAACAAACTATTCACCATTGCAATGCATAACGGAAAATCCAGCTGATTCAACTTGACTGAAGTAAGTATCCAAAAAACATACTTACATGAAGAAAGTATGTCCCAAGAGTAAGTTTTTCTGCGTTATGCAACTTTTCTAGCATCTGTAGCACCATGACTTGAAAAAAATCATCCTTAAAGAATATTGTTTCATCATGGCAAAATATAATGTCTAGTTTAGCTTCGGTTAGTGACGAGAGATCAGCCAAACTGCATGGAAACTGAGACTTCCACTTGAGACAATGGATATGTGGTGCCACAATCTTCGTTGGAACCCTAGCTTTGGGTTCGAAGTTGTATATATCTAATGTTCTCAGATGCAGTGATTTGTTGCTGAGATCAATAACGCTCAGTGGAACGCAATAAAACAATTCTAAGCTTTCGAGGACTGGACAACCAGACAAAATCTTATCAAAAGATTCGTCAGAGAAAGTAGCACCACCCAAGGACAACTTCTTCAAGGATGTCCAGTTGTTTGACAGAGGAATTGTTGTAGAAGAATTCAGGAATGGTGTACCTAGTATGCAATAATTCCAGGGACAGAGTTTCCACATTGCGGGATATGGCTAACTTGATCAAACTCTCAACGTGGCAAACATTATGCCTCGTTATGCTGGTTCCGAGATGAAAGTTCATCATCTTGGGAGCAGTATATCGAGTTACACTTTTGTTTATCGAAGCAACTTTCAGGTCATCACCGTTGAATGAGAGAGAAGGTGTATCGCACCATACATGCCTCCATCGTCTGGACAAGAGGGAAGTTATGATAGCGCCTTTGGTCGGAATAAAAGAGAGTATGTGTTGGAGGACCACATCTGGTAGAGAGCTGATTGAGTCAACTTTGAGGCGGCGGCTGCAGCTTCTTCGGGCTCTTACAGATGCGGTGGCGCTCTCGTCGGCCATCTTAATTGGTGATTATTTTCTTAGGGCCGGCTATAATATTGTGACACAGCTCCTTAACCTTTATCTTGCGTGACAGTCTTCTTCCCAGTAATTTATCCTCTTTACAGTTTTACGAGGCCCTAAATAAGTAACTACTAGTATTTTGATTTTAAAAACGTTTCTTAAATGATCTTTTGTCTTTTATGCTTGATGTACTTTTTTTGTGACCAATCAAAAGAGCTTCATTGTTTAATTAATATAAATTAGGTATTTACCTGCACTATGCTGCGGGATATTTTTCTAGATTTTGTATATATTTTTAACATAGTGAAATTATTTCTATAATGTAAATAAGTATTATATTTATTTTTTATTAGCTTAAGTTATGTATTTATATGTTTTAAATCTGAATAACATTATATATCATTAATTTTTTTGTTTTTCAAAATTATAATCTACTGTCAAATTTGTTTAGCTTACTATCTATAAAGTATATATATAAGAATAAAACAATACATTTTTAAGTACCTTCATGCTACTGGTAAATGTAATTTATTTTTTCTACTAAATTGCCACTTGATTCTCCTTTGAAATTATATAAAGCAACTTGCCATTTAGAAACAAATATTAATTAATATGATTATTTTAAATTATAAAATTTATTATTTATCAAATATTTATATAAACATATGTTTCTAAAACTACCAAACTATAATCAATAACATTCATATCAAAACCATTACTATTGCTTTAGAACTAAATAAAAAGTTCTATTTGAACTGTTGAAATATCAATTTAGTTAGTTAAATAATTCAATTTTGGTTACTATAAACATATTGTAACTTGAAAATTCAGAACAGAGAAATTTTATTTTTTACAAAAACCGAGAAATTGTATTTTCCAACAAAACAAAAAAAAAATATTTTCCTACGAAACTAAGAAATCGCTTATTCCAGCCAAAACAAAAAAAAAATTATTTTCTCGTCAAACCTGAAATTTTATTTTCCTAACAAAATAAAGAAATTGCATTTTCCCTCAAAAATCAAAAAAATCACATTTTCCCGCAAGAACATGTGTTTTCTCGTCAGAACAGAGAAATCAAGTTTTTCACCAAAACCAAAAAATTTCATCTTCCTGCAAAAACCAAAAATAGTACTTTCCCGTCAAAACCAAAAAAAAAAATATTTTTCCGCAAAAATAGAGAAATCGTCTATTCCCACCTAAACAAGAAAAAATTAATTTTCTCGTCAAATCAAGAATCATGCATTCCTACCAAAACCGATAAAATACAATTTTCCGTAAAAACCACAAATTGCATTATCTCCTGAGAAATTGCGTTTCCCGTGAAAACTAAGAAATCATATTTTGCATCGAAAACCAAAAAATCACATTATATGTCAAAAACTGAAAATTTGCATTTCCCATCAAAACTAAAAAATTGTTTATTCCCGCCAAAATCGAGAAATTTTGTATTTCTATCAATCCGAGAAATTACATTTTCTCCCAAAATTATTAAATTACAATTTCCCGCTAAAACTAAGAAATCACATTTTCCTGCGAAAATCAAGAAATTACATTATCCATCAAAAGCCGAAAATTGCCTTTTCTATCAAAACGAAAAATCGTATTTTTCGTCAAAATTGAAAAGTTGCATTTTACTCGCATTTTCTCGTCAAAATCAAAATATTTTTTTTTCTCATCAAAACCAAAAATTCATATTTTTTCGCCAAACCCGAAAATTCGTTTTTTTCCACCATAACCGATAAATTATGTTTTCCTACTAAAACAGAAAATCATATGTTTCTATACCAAAACCAAGAAATTATCTATTCCCGCCAAACCCAATAAAATTCTTTCTCAGTAACCACTGGAAATGCGAATCTCTAAGCTGTGGTGGTCTGAGTTTCTCCTCATTTGCTTTCCACTTTCATTTTTTTGTGAACTTTGAGCTTTTTAATGGGTCTTCAAAATAGTAAACTGATTTTATTAGTGTGTTAATAATATGTATTATTGTTATGTTTATATTGGTTCAAATTTTTGCTGATGTGTGAGCTTCTTATAACATAATGCTTTTTGCATTGTTGTTATGGAATCATAGTTGATGATGAATCTACACTTTCTTCAATCATATACGTCTCTATCAAGCAAATACATAGTTAAAAATTTTAATTTTTTTGTTGTTATTTATTATTTGAATTTCGGTTTGGCAAAAATATAAAACAAAGATTTAATTTTTTTATTTATTGTTATTTATTATTTGGATTTGGGTTTTTTTGCTGTTATTTATTATTTGGGCTTGGGTTTGGCCAAAAAATAAAACTAAATTAACAATAAAAATATTTGGATTTTTAATGGGTTTAAATTTAAAAGTTAAAATAAATTGATGACTTATATTAATGAAATGTTTTTATTGGTGTTTTATTTTGCTGAAGTGTCATCATATAATATATAAAAATTGATGACATAGTGCATTGAGGACGTCCACATGGGATTAAAAAACTCGATATGATTAGTCCAAATCCGCATATTCATTAAATAGAAAAATATTAAGTGTGATTAGGACGGAAAAACTTAACTTAATTGGTCCACATTAGCTTTTAAATCAAACCAAAATTATTAAATATAATTAAAACATTAAAAGTTAATTTAACAAATTATGTCCAACAAAAAAAGTAAATTCAATCTGATTGATCCAAATCAACATATTTATTAAATCAGAAAATGTTAATATGGTTTAAAAATTTAAAAGTTAAATAAAAAATTAACAATTAACAATACATGTACAAAAAAAAGTAACCATTATTAATTATCAATTATCAATTTAAAAAAATCTAAAACAACTCGACTTAACAATTAAAATAATAAAAACTGAATAAAAATATAACGTAAAACTCTTGAAAGACATGATGGAGAAAGAAAAAATGGTTTTACATGATCGTTACAACTTCCTAACAAAATTAAATACGAATCAACATGAATCATGGATTAAATATACAGTGGTACACAACATCAATAAGACTTTCAATAAAAAAACTAAATATTTGAACACATAAACCTTTAAGAAAAAAGAACTATAGAAATTCTATGGAAAACAGAAAATAATACCAAAATCTTAGCAAGATTATATTTCTCTAAATCAAATATATATGTACGTCAAAGTTAGACAATTCGATAGGTGACATTGTTATTATTTTACCTAATAATTTTTTTTAAATTTATAAATAAAAATAGGATGAATTACACATTATATATTAAATTCTCTTATATAAATAATTTTTTTATAAATATATATAATTTTTAATAATTTTAAAGATAGTAGCTAAAAAAATAAACAAAAATATTAATACAGACTCGCGCGTAGCGCGAGTTATATACATAGTCTCCTAAAAACTTGAAAATGCTGATGTCAAGCTATGGAGAGACACTTGTGTTATTGTTGTGTTGATGTGCGGATGATTTAAGAAAGAAAAAAAAAATTGGGTTTCCTTGAAAACTGATCATTATGATAGGATAGTAAAAGACATTGGTTGGTCCTTCGACTATATCTATATGACTATATGAAGAGATGGTCCATCAGAACGTGAATAAACTTTTAACTTTGACCTAACTTTAGGCACAAGTACCAGATTATATATTACTATTTTGTGCCTAATTACATGATTTTCACAATGATGACAATGCAGCGTGTGTTAGATGGTCTTCCTGTGACACAAATCCCTGTACTCCCTGATCCTCTCTTGTCGTGTGTAAACCTATCCCGTTGTACATCATTGTAACTCAAGAGATTGCTCTGAATATGTTTCTGTGTTATTCATGTCAAGAAGAGTACAATGCTAACTACAAGAGATGAAAATCAAGCTAGAAAGACCTAAAAGAGAAGAGTGTGTTTTATCGTACGTTGTTGAAAAACTCATGGCTTATATATATGATAAGTATTGTACTTGGTCTCCGCACATTGTTTCTTAACTAGTCCTGTAATAAAGAGAAGTCTTCTTCTTCTATAGTATATGTTAAAATGAGGATCGATGTAAAATGTTCAGCATGACTCAAGACCAAAACCTTATGATTCGCCACTTATCTAGTGTCGGAGATCACAATGGAGACATTCTTGTTGTTGTTGTGAGAAAGTGTCTGAACCATCTCTTTAAACCCTCTTGCTTCAAGGTAAGGGTGATAATAGTCGTCCACCCGTACGACCATTTTCTCTAATGTCTTAATGTTTTCAAACATAAGTTCCATGAATGTAGCCACTTCCTTTGACTCTGCATCCCAACGCGACTGGCTCCGACGGCGACGGACCCCCTGCTCAACAGGAAAAAAAAAAGAAGCAAAACAAAGGTGCTTCTTGGATTATTCAAACTCATTGATAGCTAAGCATGGTCAAGAAAAATAAGAGAGGGTTTCTGGTAAATATACCCGCTGGGTGTTCCAATTGCTTATCTGTAGCTTCTTCAAATCAGGTGAGTTTTGTAACAATCGTTCAATACCAGGAGGTATAACAACATACTCATGTAACGTTGCCTTTAGAGTCAAATCTTTGACCTTCAACATCGGAAAAGGAACACCAAGAAGATCGGGAAAAGATAACAACTAACAAGAAAGAGCAAAGAGAAAGATAGTGTGAGATACTGAAACTAGCGTGCACATTATACGTACCTAAAGCTTATTGAAAATCAAAGACTAGTCGTGAATGAAAAGCTAATCCATCGGAACATACCTCGAGAAATTGTTCCCCAAAAGATAGCTTCTCTACGTTCTGCAAACTTTCCAACATCATTAGCACCGCGACTTTTAATAACTCTCCATCGGTGGCAAGTGAGTCACACCGGAGGCTCAGTTTAGCTTCAGCTAGAGATGAGACATCAACTAAAGTAGGTAGTAAATTAGTGCTATCCAGCCTGAGACAACGGATATGTGGTGCCAAAATCTGCATTGGCGTCAGTACATCAAAGCTGCGATGCACTTCCAATGTTCTCAGACTCGGCGAATTGCTAAGATCAACAACGGTCGGGTCATCGCAGAACCACAACGTCAAGCTTTCGAGAACCGGGCAACCAGATAGAATCGTAGCCAAGGATTCATCAGAGAGTTTACACCTACGCAAGGACAACTTCTTGAGGGATGTCCAAGAAACAGATGCTTTGGGAACAATCACAAGTTTAAATCGAGACGCAAGGCTGAGTTCCTTAAGGGAGGATTGGATGAAGAAGGAATCAGGAAAAGTATAGTTATAAGTCTTAAAGTCAAGTTCGAGGGAGAGACTCTCCACTCTGCGGTTCATGGCCAGCTCGGTCCAAGCGCTGACGTGATTAACACTGCGGATCTGGCCGGTCCGGAGTTGTAAACTCATCATCTTTTGAGCAGTGTAGCGATCTTGGGTCTTGTTTCTCGAAGCAGACATGAGTGTGCAGCTAGCGAAGGAGATACAAGGCGTGTCGCACCATACACGCCTCCATCGTTTGGACAGGAGGGAAGTTCTGATGGCGATTTCGGTCGGAAGGAAGCAGAGGATGTGCTGGAGGATCTCATCAGGTAAAGAGCTGATCGAGTCTTCTTCTACTGCTCTTTTTTTTTCTAATAAAGAGCTACCGACTCTTACACCGGCGGCCATCTTAATCATAAACCTAGCTAGTACTTGGCGATTTCGTTGAGTTTGTTGTTCCTGTTATTCGTAAATTTATGAAACAGCTTTTTATTTAACAACACGCGCGCCTCCCCTTCCAATTTACGCATGACGTATCATACAAGGCACAATATATATATATATATATATTGATGTATATGATATTTTTTTTATTAAATAAAGTTGGATGCGTCAAAATTAGTAATTTATATGATTCTGACATATGATGAGTCAAATGATTAGATTTTGACATATATTACGATTAAATTAAAAATAAAACAAAATAAGTAAAAATATATATTTCAGTTTAGAAAAAGAAAATAATTTAAAACACTAATCTTAAAAAAAAGATTTTTAATTTGAAAAAAGAAAAAACCTATAAAAAATACTCTTAAAAGAGAAAGAAAAATACAATTCACATCTATATAAACACATAAAATCACTTATAGTTTTTCATCAAACAAAATATTTTTTTTTAAGCTTCATTTTATAAGTATAATTTTTATTGTATTATTATTATTAAAACACTTTATATAGAAAAATATCGTTTGAAAAAAAACAAAAGTTTTAAAAAAAGATATTTTAATTTGAAAAAGAAAAATAAGCTAAAACACTAATTTTAAAAGACAAAAGTTAATAAAATGAGATATTTCAATTTTGACATGTATTATGATTAAATTAAAAATAAAATAAAAAGATATATTTCAGTTTAGAAAAAGAAAATAATTTAAAACACTAATCTTACAAAAAAAAAGAAATACAATTTGGAAAAAAAAAGTTAATAAAATAAGATATATCAATTTGAAAAAAAAAAAAAAAAACTAAAACATTAATCTTAAAAATATAAAAAAGCAATTCACTATCTATATAAACACATAAAACCGTCTATTGGGCTGTATGTACAATGCTAACAAGATTCAAGAGATGAAAATCGAGCTAGAAACACCTAAAAGAAAAGAGTGTTTTATCGTTGTTGAAAAACTAATGGTTGATATAAAATATAAGAATTGTACTTAGTAGTCTCCGCACATTATTTCTTAACTAGTACTGTAATAATGAAAAGTCTTCTTCTTCTATAGTATATGTTAAAATGAGGATCGATGTAAAATGTTCAGCATGACTCAAGACCAAAACCTTATGATTCGCCACTTATCTAGTGTCGGAGACCACAATGGAGACATTCTTGTTGTTGTTGTGAGAAAGTGTCTGAACCATCTCTTTAAACCCTCTTGCTTCAAGGTAACAGTCGTACACCCGTACGACCATTTTCTCTAATGTCTCAATGTTTTTAAACATAAGTTCCATGAATGTAGCCACGTCCTTTGACTCTGCATCCCAACGAGACTTGCTCCGACGGCGACGGACCCCCTGCTCAACAGATAATAAAAAGCAAACAAAGGTGGTTCTTGGATGATTCAAGCTCGTTGATAGTTAAGCATGGTCAAGAAAAATAAGAAAGGGTTTATGGTAAATATACCGGCTGGGTCTTCAAATTTCTTATGTGTAGCTTCTTCAAATCAGGTGAGTTTTGTAACAGTCGCTCAATACCAGGAGGAATAACATACTCGTGTAACATTGCCTCAAGAGTCAAATCTTTGACCTTCATCATCGGAAAAGGAACACCAAGAAGCTCGGGAAAAGAGAACAGCTAACAAGAAAGAGCAAAGAGAAAGATAGTGTGAGGTAGTGAAACTAGCATGCACATAAAGTACCTAAAACTTATTGATAATCAATGACTAGTAGTGAATGAAAAACTAATCCATCGGAACATACCTCGAGAAATTGTTTCCCAAAAGATAGCTTCTCTACGTTCTGCAAACTTTCCATCATCGTTAGCACCGTGACTTTATGAAACTCTCCATCGGTGGTGGCAAGTGGGAGACAACATAAGTTTAGTTTAGCTTCAGCTAAAGATGAGACATCAACTAAAGTAGGTAGTAACTTTAACTTAGAGCTACCCAGCCCGAGATAACGGATATGTGGTGCCAAAATCTGCATTGGCGTCACTAACGAAAGGCTGTTGTGCATTTGTAATGATCTGTGCATTTGTAACGAAAGGCTGTTGTGCACTACTAATGACGTCAGACTCGGTGAATTGCTGAGATCAACAACAGTCAGGTCATCGCAGAACCACAACATCAGGCTTTGGAGAACCGGACAACCAGATAGAATCGTAGCCAAGGATTCATCAGAGAGTTTACAACTACGCAAGGACAACTTCTTGAGGTATGTCCAAGACAGAGACACTTTGGGAACAATCATAGGTTTATATCGTAACGCAAGGCTGAGTTCCTTAAGGGAGGACTGGCTGAAGAAGGAATCAGGAAAAATATAGTTACAACAACTGCTCTTGAAGTTAAGTTCGAGGGAGAGACTCTCCACTCTGCGGTTCATGGCCAGCTCGATCCAAGCGTTGATGTTCTTAACATTGCGCTTCTGGCCGGTCCGGAGGTGTAACCTCATCATCTTTTGAGCAGTGTAGCGATCTTGGGTATTGTTATTCGAAGCAGCCATGAGTGTGCAGCTAGAGAAGGAGATACAAGGCGTGCCGCACCATACACGCTTCCATCGTTTGGACAGGAGCGAAGTTCTGATGGCGGATTCGGTCGGAAGGAAGCAGAGGATGTGCTGGAGGATCTCATCAGGTAAAGAGCTGATCGAGTCTTCTTCTACTGCTCTTGTTTTTTCTGATAGAGAGCTACCGACTCTTACACCGGCGGCCATCTTAATCATCAACCGAGCTAGTACTTTGGCGATTTCGTTAGGTTTGTTATTAGTATATTTATGAAACAGCTTTTTATTTATCAACACGCGCGCCTCCTCTTCTAATTCGCACGTATCATACAAGGCCCAAAATAATGTGCACTGGATATTAATATGAAAGAAGTGTGATATGGGAGAAATAAATATATTTAAAAAATAGATGAAAAAAGGATGTTTAGTGTGGAAAACGATTGCAAGAAGAACATATGGTTGAACTTTGAAGTCGCGAGTTCAGCAAGGGTTTTAGTTTTTTCACAAGAAAGTTTAATAGTTTTTTTAGTACTCACACAGTGCCACCTTGTTGTATTTTATGTTTGTTGTATTTTTTTGTGACCAATCAAAGAGCTTCATTATTTGATATAAATGTGTGTGGATGCGAACTTGGGTTTCCCCGAACAGTGAACACTGATCATGATAGCATAGGATAGTAAAAGACATTTGTTTCCTTCGACTATCTATATAATATAAAGAGATGGTCCATCAGTACGTGAATAAAATATTGACTTTGACCTAACTTTAGGCACAAGTACTAAAATCATGTTTTACTATTTTGTGCCTCATTACTTGCTTTCACAATGATGGCAATGCAGCGTGTGTTAGATGGTCTTCCTGTGGCACAAGTCCCTGATCCTCTTGTCGATCCCTTCAAGAGATTGCTCTGAACATATGTTTCTGCGTTCAGGAACATATGTGATGAACGCAAAACCTAACTCTGCATCCAAATGGGATGAATCCTTACCAAAACGGTAAATAACCAGTAGTGTATATGAGCATCGCCACTGGGACACAGAGGAGACGACAAATATAAGAAATGTACTTAGTCTCCCCGCACATGATTTCTTAACTAGTCCTACAAATAAAGAAAAGTCTTCTTCTAGTATATGTTAAGACGAGGATCGATGTAAAATGTTCAGCATGACCCAAGACAAAAACCCTATGGTTCACAACTTATCTAACGTCGGAGACCACAGTATGGAGACACTGTTGTTGTTGTGAGAAAGTGTCTGACCCATCTCTTTAAACGCTCTTGCTTCAAGGTTATAGTCTTCCAACCAAACGACCACTTTCTCTAATGTCTTAATCCTGTTAAACACAAGTTCCATAAATGTAGCCACGCGATTTGACTCTGCATCCAAATGGGACTTGCTCCGACGACGGAACCCCTGCTCAACAGAAAAAAAAAAAACAAAACAAAACAAACATGGTTCTTGAATTATCCAAACTCGTTGATAGGTAAAGCATGGTCAAGTATACCAGAAGAAGCAAAGAGAAAGATACTGAGATACTGAAACTAGCGTGCACAAAAGTACCTCAACTTATAGAAAATCAAATCAAAGACTAATCCATCGAAACATACCTCGAGAAACTGTCTCCCAAAAGATAGCTTCTCTACGTTGTGTAACTTCTCCAACACCGTGTCTTTAAGAAACTTAACATTGAAGCCAGTGCCAGATGGGCCAAAGCAGACGTGCAGTGTAGCTTCTGCTAAAGATGAGACATCAACTAAAGTAGATAGTAACTGAGAATTATGCAGCCTGAGACAACGGATATGCGGTGCCAAAAACTGCATTGGCATCAGTACATAAACTCTGCGTTGCACTTCCAATGTTCTCAGACTCGGCGAATTGCTGCGATCAACAACAGTCAGGACATCGCTGAAACACAACAGTCAGGTACGATGCGGTCTGTAACATAATAACCCAACTTCACCAAAGAAGTTTCATATATGTGCTTCGTAAACTGCCTGTAAAGAACACAAAACCACCAACGCACAATAATGTTCCTCAGATTTATAATACGCAACAATGCTAAGGAAGAACGCAATCAGATCGACTCTAATGGTATAATGACAATTACACTGCGGTTTGCGAAACACTCCCTTACACAAGAGCTCATGTCACCAATATGTAAAAGTCTGTGGGTGATTCATTCTGCGTAATCACACAAGAACATGGTACATTAACAAAGATCCAAAGGAATTTGCGAGCTCTCGATAACAACACTGGTGATCTGGTCTCAACTGTAGACAAAGCAAAGGAAAACTTACAGCAGCTGCAGAAATGGGTGAAGCTGTAGATATCAAATGGAATCCCATCTTACAGCAAAAAGGCTAACTTGTTGTTCTTTTTATTCCCAATCAATCTCCTCCTCCACCGCATGACACATCCACACATATGCAGGATCAAACGAGAGGAGGAGGAGACTAATCAAGGAACAAAAGGTCTAACAAGGGTATAACAGCATACGGAACGATGTTCTAATGCAGGATGCGTGGTTTCAAGCAACATAATTGTCGCAAGAGCCCTAAGAACAGCAGAGAGAATCCATGAGAAAAAGCAAGAGCCCATACACAGAGCGAGAGAGAGAAAGAGAACGAGGCGGCCTCTAAAAGAATGCTAGGCATCATCCTTTATAAAGATTAGGTCTAAATGTTAATAAAATCCTCAACAAACAAACCGGGAAATTGCAAAACAAAGCCAACTATAAACGTGGTCTTAATTAAAATCCCGCAACATATCAACTTAATGAAAATTAACAACTGGAACAAAAGTTTTTAGTTTCAGAAACAAAGAAACTGATATCTCTAATTAAGGTGTAGACACTAAAACCATGATCATCTAAGGAACAATGACATGCCCATTGAGCCACACACAAACTTTCGATTACGTAACTTTGCTGACTATTTACTGTTCATTTAGCCAAGAGGTTTTGCCTTTTTCAATGAGGAGTATCACAATGGTAAACATACTACTCTACTACATTTAGTGGTATTATTTATTTATTTTTGTTAAAGAATTTGGTGGTATTATATAAATTAGGAATAGGACCCCGTTTTGCACGGTTAATTTGACGTATATTAAAAGCTAAACAGAAAATTATTTAAATTAATTACACGTAAATGCATAAAATAAAAATAATGACAAAATATGTAAATATCTTAAAAAAAAACTTGTTTATGTGATTAATAAAATTCTTAGATTAAGTTTGGGAAAAAGATACGATAAAGTAATAATAAATTTCATTCATTTTAGTCTAGTAAATTTATTTACTAAACATGTATATCAAAAAAGAAATAATGAAAATGATCAATTTTCATTTTTTTATAAAGTTGAAAAGATATAAATAGTAAACAACGCAACTTTTCGTAAAATAAACGGTTATAAACGAAAATATATATAATGAATATTGAAAAGATACGAACTTTAATTACAGTTATAAGAAAATAAAAGAACGTAATCATATTTGATAGTTATTAAATTTTAAAATAATTTTTTAAAATAAAAATTAGTAATTATAAACGAAAACGTAATCCAAATACTAATAATGTTTATGACACTAAATATAATAATAATATACAACTTGTTTGAGGGTTGTGAGATGCCCATTGAGCCACACACTACCATGCATATAGAAACTTTTGATTACGTAACTGTGCTGAGTTTTTACTGTCCATCCAGCCAAGATGTTTTGCCTTTTCCAATGAGGAGTATCACAATCGTAAGCATACTACTCTACTAAATTTGGTGGTATTATTTATTTTTTTGTTAAAGAATTTGGTGGTATTATATAAACTAAGAATATAATTTCGTTTTGCGCGGTTAATTTTCCGTGTATTAAAAATTAAACAGAAAATTATTTGAAATAATTATAAGTAAATAAATAAAATAAAAATAATGACAAAATATGTAAATATCTTGAACAAATCTTCAAATGGAAAACAAAAACTTGTTTATATGATTAATAAACTTCTCATAATAAGTTTGGAAAGAAGACACGATAAAGTAAAAATAAACTTCATTTATTTTTAGCCTAATAAATTTATTTACTAAACATGCATATAAAAAAAGAAATAATGAAAATGATCAATTTTTATTTTATTTTATAAAGTTGAAAATATATAAATAGTAAACAATGCAACTTTTCATAAAATAAACGGTTATAAACAAAAACATATATAATGAGTATTCAATAGATGTGAACTTTAATTACAGTTACAAGAAAATAAAAGAACGTAATCATATTTGATAGTTATTAAGTTTTAAAATAGAAATTTCTATAAAAGTTAGTAATTATAAACGAAAACGTAACCCAAATACTAATAATATTTATGACACTAAATATAATAAAAATAACAACTTGTATATGGGTTGTGAGATGCCCATTGAGCCACACACTAGCATCAGTACCTATAGAAACTTTTGATTATGTAATTGTGCTGAGTATTTACTGTCCATTCAGCCAAGAGGTTTTGCCTTTTTCCAGTGAGGAGTATCACAATGGTAAGCATACTACTCTTCTAATTTTGCCCATTGAGCCACACACTAGCATCAATACCTATAGAAACTTTCGATTACGTAATTGTGCTGAGTATCTACTGTCCATTCAGCCAAGAGGTTTGCCCTTTTCTAATGAGGAGAATCATAATGGCTATCCTACTACTCTACTAAATTTAGTGGTATTATATAAAATAGGAATAGGACCTCGTTGTGCGCGGTTAATTTACCGTTTATTAAAAATTCAACAAAAAATTATTTGAAATAATTTAAATAAATACATAAAATGAAATGATGAAAAACATGTAAATATCTTGAAAAGGTCTTCAAATGGAAAAAAAACTTCTTTATGTGATTAGTTAACTTCTCAGATTAAGTTTGGAAAGAAGACATGATAAAGTAATAATAAACTTTATTTATTTTAGTCTAATAAATTTATTTATTAAACATGCATATAAAAAAAATGATCAATTTTTAATTTTTTTATAAAGATGAAAAGATATAAATAGTAAACAACGCAAATATAATGAATATTAAAAAATATATGAACTTTAATTACAGTTATAAGAAAATGAAAGAACGTAATCATATTTGATAGTTACTAAATTTGTAAATAAAACTTTTTATAAAAATTAATAATTATAAATAAAAACGTAACCCAACTACTAATAATATTTATGACACTAAATATAATGAAAATACATAAGGTTGTGAGATGCCCCTCATGATCAGCATCATATTTGATAGTGATTCTTAATTGGCATTGTTGGATAATGATCATATGTTACATTTCTATTATTTCTTATTTTTTATTTATAATAAACCATC